TGGATATACAGTGCTGTCAAGAGGGGCCACTTTTGCCATGGCCGGGGATCCAAGACTTCTGGGAACCAGACACTTAGGCACCCTGCTGGATTTCAAAGACTGAACCCTCTGCCCTAGGCTAAGGCTGATGTGCGCCAAGGCAGGGATAAAGGAAACATGCAGGAGATAAGACTGGGACAGTATTTTTATCACTACATTTTCTTACTCCATTTTGTAAGTGAATCTTACTTTTGCTCTCACTATAATGCCAGCCCTAATCTCTCCCTTGAACTTCAAATGTTTGCCACATATTTGGAAACCTCATAAGCATCACAATTGCTCTTTTCCTGTTTCCCCAATTCAGACTGAAGAAATCTAGTGGTCATGTCTGAAGCCTAGCAGGGATTCTAGTCTCCCTCTTTCAGTCAGTGCAAAGTCTTTCCAATGAAAGTTCTCAGATATTTCTCATCTTAACCCCTACTTCCTAGTCCTTTCTGCTATGGCTTATTCTTTGGTCATCTCTCACATGAAACTGCTATCACTGTAGTTTCCTAAATGGTGGTTTCTCTGGCCTCAGTTTTGCCTTCCTGAAACAACATATGGCTACGAGAATGATCTTTCTGAAAAAAAAATTTTTAATGTTTTTTATTTACTTTTGAGAAAGAGCAAGACAGAGCACAAGCAGGGGAGGGGCAGAGAGAGAGGGAGACACAGAATCCAAAGCAGGCTCCGGGCTCCGAGCCATCAGTACAGAGCCTGACGCAGGGCTTGAACCCAGGAACTGTGAGATCACGACCTGAGTGGGTCAGACACTTAACCAGCTGAGCCACCCAGGCACCCCCAGAATGATCTTTCTAAAACACACGTTGCACATGATAGTCTTCAGCCGTGTTTCTCAACTGAAGTGGTAGCCTGTAGTGATGTTCCAAGGTATGTAAAGTCATCGGAAAAAAAAGGTTGGGAGGAGGGCAGAACATGACTCCATTCATTATCTTTATATTAAAACAAATACATTTTAACTAGGTTTATTGTGGTGACCATTTCACAATATAGGCAAATATTAAATCATTTTTAAAAATTTTTGTATAAAGTTTCCTTATTTTGAGAGAGAGCGTGCGTGCGTGAGAGCAGGGGAGGGGCAAAGAGAGAGAGAATCCCAATCAGGCTCCATACTGTCATTGCAGAACTGGACAAGGAGGTTTGAACTCAGGAAATGCGAGATCATGACCTGAGCCGGAATTGAGAGTCTGACGTGTAACTGATTGAGCTACCCAGGCACCCCTGAAAATTACTTAACCGAAAAACAAAACAAAACAAATATATACCGTAGAATGGGCTGCAAAACTGCACACATTTTATATTTTTTTTCAACGTTTATTTATTTGTGGGACAGAGAGAGACAGAGCATGAACGGGGGAGGGTCAGAGAGAGAGGGAGACACAGAATCGGAAACAGGCTCCAGGCTCTGAGCCATCAGCCTAGAGCCCGACGCGGGGCTCGAACTCACGGACCGCGAGATCGTGACCTGGCTGAAGTCGGACGCTCAACCGACTGCGCCACCCAGGCGCCCCAAAACTGCACACATTTTAAAAGAACTTCACAGACATTTCATGACTGTGGTGGGCTATTTCAGGTTACGCCTCCACCCACATCCCTTTTATTCAAATTTACTGCCATTAGAGGGTTTTTAGAAGAAATGTTTGAGAAACACTGGTGTATAGGGAAAACTTCAAGGTCTTTATCATGGCTTATCAAAACGATCAGCAGAACCAGATTCCTGTTTTCACCTCTGAATTTTCCCACTATTATCCTTGAGATACTGAATAGCTTCTAGGGGTATAGAGACCATGTTTTGAATGCCTCCTTGCGTTTTGCACACAGTGTTCCAAATAGAACACTTTCCCTTGCTTCCCTTGACTGCATAACTCACACTCCTTCCAGAGTCCCCTCAGGCAGCACATCCTCCAGAATGCTTCTCTGTCTTCTGCCCCGGGCCCCGGCCCCCCCCCCCCAGCTGTCTGGGCTCTGTCCTCTATGCATACTATTATCACTACAAGTTAGGGGCTGAAACCTTATTCAGCTGTGCTCATATTTTCCTTCATGGGGACATCTTTCATTTCGTTCTAGAAAGACCATTTTAAAGTGACCATTTGGGCCTTCTCTCAGAAGCTCATTACCTCTCTCAGAAGACAGATTCATCTGAATGGGGAAATTGGTCAGACTCGACTTCTATAGACCACACTGACAGGGGGGCAGAATGGCTTCCTTAAAAAGGCAACTCGGGCCATCTCTGGACTCTTTCTCTTTTTTTTTTTTTCAACGTTTATTTATTTTTGGGACAGAGAGAGACAGAGCATGAACGGGGGAGGGGCAGAGAGAGAGGGAGACACAGAATCGGAAACAGGCTCCAGGCTCTGAGCCATCAGCCCAGAGCCCTACGCGGGGCTCGAACTCACGGACCGCGAGATCGTGACCTGGCTGAAGTCGGACGCTCAACCGACTGCGCCACCCAGGCGCCCCTGGACTCTTTCTCTTATAACATCTCTTATGTACTCTATGAAAGAAGGGCCAGTTCTCCCTGCTTTTTCCCCCGAAGTAGTGAGCACATGTGACAAGTCACCCCCTTTGTGGGTGTGGCCCTACTGTTGTCCAGCAGCTCTTTTGATAATGGGGTGGGGGTAAGTTAACTTGGATAGGGAAATAGGACATCCCAGCACACACTGCAATGTACCCATTGTCAGGCAACCCCAAATAAAACTGACAGCCAGTGTTTGGGGCTGGTGTTATCTATGTGTACCCAATAAGTTGAAACCCTAATAAGGAGAAGGAAATTTGTAACATCCGAAATCTCACAATGATTTAAATTATCAATTAATTTAGCTGTACCAATTAGCCTATAAACTTCCTGAAGGCAAGAACTACCATATCTTTTTTTATTGCTGTATGTCCCTTGACACACAGTAGGTGGCACATAAAGGTGTTTAATTATTTTATTTGTTAACTTTTTTTCTGATTATAGAAGCAATGCAGCATGATAGAACAAAAGAATTTTATAAAAATAGGAAACAAAAAGTGATTCAACAAACTAAAGATTATATATTAACAGCATGTAAACTTGTATGCTTTTTCTTTTTTACTATCTGTATATTTTTTTTTGAAAAAAGGAAATGATTTTATGTACAGTTTTGTTTTTAAAAACCAGTTGTTTTGGGGCACCTGGGTGGTTCCGTCAGTAAAGCGTCTGACTCTTGATTTCCGCTCAGGTCATGATCTCACGGTTCGTGAATTCAAGTCCCACATCAGGCTCTGCACTGACAGCAAGGAGCCTGCTTGGGAGTCTCTGTCTCCCTCTCTCTGCCCTCCTCTGTTCATGCTCTCTCACTCTTTCAAAATAAATCAATAAACATTAAAGAAAATAAAATAACAAAAATCAGTTGTGCAACATTAAATATAATGTTCTTATATAAGATGATTTTCATAGCTGCATAGTATTGCATTGATAAATGAATAAAAAGTAGCCCGTTGATAAGTAATATTTCTCGCACATTTATCAAAGCATTTTTTTCATGTGCTTTCCCACATGGTTTACATGCGTTATTGCATTTCTTCTTCCCAACTCTGGGGCAAGAATTTTTTTTTTTAAGTTTATTTATTTATTTTGAGAGAGAACGTATGTGTGAATGGGGGAGGAGGAGAGAGACAGAGGGAGAGAGAGAGAGAATCCCAAGCAGGCCCTGCACTGTCAGCAGAGCCCAACTCAGGGCTCGATCCCATAAACTGTGAGATCATGACCTGTGCTGAAATCAAGAAATTGGATGCTTAACCAACTTTGCTACCCAGGCGTGGGGCAGGGATTTTTATCCATTTGCATATGAAGGAACATAGGCTAACAAGCATGAAATAGCTTGTCCAAGGTCACTTGGGTGTTAAGTGGCAAAACTAGGATTCAGTTATATATGATTTAATACCAGAGCCAATATAACTTTTAAAAGGATATTCTGGGGGCGCCGGGGTGGCTCAGTAGGTTAAGTATTGAACTCTTGATTTCGGCTCGGGTCATGATCTCATGATTTGTGACATTAAGCCCATGTCAAGCTCTGCACCAACAGTGTGGAACCTGCTTGGGATTCATTCTCTCTCCCACTCTCTTTCTCTGCCCCTCCCTCACTCGTTCTCTCTCTCTCTCTCTCTCTGTCTCATTCTCTGTCTCTCTTTCTCGAAATAAACTTAAAAAAAAAGGATATTCTTTAATTTATTTAACATATTTCCATTGTTGGGCATTAAGGTTGTTTCTTATTTTCTTACAATAATAAGTAATGCTGCCTATATTAAACATCCTTTGAGCCAAATCTGTGTATATATTTCTGGTCGTTTTCTTCAGATAAATTCTTTTTTTTTTTTTTTTAATTTTTTTTTCAACATTTTTTATTTATTTTTGGGACAGAGAGAGACAGAGCATGAACGGGGAGGGGCAGAGAGAGAGGGAGACACAGCATCAGAAACAGGCTCCAGACTCCGAGCCATCAGCCCAGAGCCTGACGCGGGGCTCCAACTCCCGGACCGCGAGATCGTGACCTGGCTGAAGTCGGATGCTTAACCGACTGCACCACCCAGGCGCCCCTATTTTCTTCAGAAAAATTCTTAAAAGCCAGTATTTTGCCTCAATTGGTTTTTTCCTTTAATTACAAATCTAATATGTGCAAAAATGAAAAATTTGGAAAATATTAAATAGCACAGAGTTATAAAGCAGAAACTATTTATAATAATTCCACCTTCCAGATAGTACTATTTTAATGTCTTACTCTTTCTCCAACCTTTTATGTGTATCATATGTACATATTTATATATAAACTATATACATGCACATATGTGCATGCACACACACACACACACAGGCACACAGAGAGTGTTATATATAGCTATATCAAAGCATATATTTTACTTTTTTGTTATGTATTACAGAAAATTGTATGATAGTACTGATACATATATGAGCATGTACACATATGCTTTCTTTGCAGGTAATCAATTAATTAATTGTAGAAACCATATTTTGGAATTTAAGGAGAAAATTCTACGTTTAAAAAATAAAACTGAAAGAAATCGCCAAGAGCTGATCAATGCCTTGAGTAAAATGAAGTATGAAATGACACAGAGAGAAAATACGTCCACAGACTTAGGTTTGTGTTACTTTTGTTTTTGTGTGTCGTGGTTTGTTTGTTGGTTTTGTGTTTTGTGTTTTGTGTTTGGAAATTTAGATTTTCTACTTTCTGATTTTAGGACATTTCTCCCCAACCACTAGAAAGAACTAAATTAGTACTTGCTCTTTTATTGTGAGACATACAAAAATCCGGTAAGAGATAGCACTGATGCACCTCTTCTCTGTAGCCCAGAAATGGTCTTCCTGTGTTTTCTGTGTGAAATGCACCGCCTTCGCGTTCCATCCAAAAGACACAGCCATTGCCCTGAGGGTCACTGTGACCCCTACCCTCTCCCTCTTGCTTATTTCCATTTCAGTCAGCAAGCAATCCTGTAGGTTGGTAATCCTATGTACTTCACAAATCTGTCCACATTTTCCTATCACCATCTCTGCTGCTCTAGTGAGGACATCTTCATATTTCATCTGAATGACTGCTAACACTTCCATTTTTCCCTCTCCAGACTTGTTCCCACCTGTCTATTTCCACCATAGACAGTGAATGCTCACTCAACTGTAGATCATCCTACAGTGGCTCCCATTTCTCCAGGATAAAAAGTCCTGCCTCTGTTTCTCCTTTTGTAGCCAAGTACTCCCTGCTCTTAATTCCTTGCAACCACTAATCAGTTCTCTGTTCTTATACTTTTCCCTTTTCCAGAATTCCATACAAATGGAATCATACAGTGTGTAATCCTTGGAGACTAACTTCTTTCACTTAGTTGTTACGTGACCAATTTATATATAAACCATATACATGCACACATGTGCATGCATGCACACACAGGCACACATTGAATGTTATATATAGCTACATCAAAGCATGTATTTTACTTTTCTGTTATGTATTGTAGAAAATTGTATGATACTATTGATACCTATATAAGCATGTACACATATGCTTTCTTTGCAGGTAATCACTTAGTTGTTATGTGACCAATTGTTGCCTTTATATTGCTGAGTAGCATTTCATTATATGGTTGTAGATTGGATACAGTTTGTTTATCCTTTTGCCAATTGAAGGACATTTGGGTTTTCATTTTTTGGCGATTACAAGTACATAAACATTCATATATAGGTTTTTTTGTTTGACGAGAATTTTCTTTAGCATATATATATATATATATATATATATATATATATATATATCTCCTGAATACGTATCGGATGGATATGTGATTTGGAAATGTTTTCTCCCAATCTGTAGCTAGTCTTTTCCTTCTCCTTGTGATGTCCTTCAGAAAGCAAACATTTTTAATTGTGATGAAGTCTAATTTGTCAATTTTTCTTCTTTTTTATTGTGTTTTTGGTGTTATCTTTAAGAACTCTACCTACATCATGGTCATGAAGATTTTCTTTTATATGTTTGTTTTTAATTTTATAGTCTTGGCTTTACATTTAGGTCTATTAAGTCTTTGAGTTGGTTTTTATAAATGGTATGAAGTATAGGTCAGGATTCAGTCTTTTTCATGTGAGTGTCCAAGTATTCTAGCACCGTTTGTCAAAAAGATTGTCCTTTCTGCATTGAATTACCTTTGTACTTTTTTTTTAATCAACTGACAATATTTATATGGGTATATTTCTGGATTCTCTATTCTATTCCATTGGTCTGTGTATCTCTTTTTAATGTAATACCATGCTGTCTTTTTTTTTTTTTGTCTTATTTATTTATTTTGAGAGAGAGAGAGAGAGAGAGAGAGAGAGAGAGAGAGAGAGAGACCAGAGGAGGGGCAGAGAGAGAGGCAGAGAGAATCCTAAGCAGGCTCCACATTGTCAGTGCAGAACCTGATATTGGGCTCAATCCCACAAACCGTGAGATCGTGACCTGAACCTAAATCAAGAGTCGGATGCTTCACTGACTGAGCCACCCAGCCACCCCAATATTATGCTGTCTTGATTACTGTATTATGTATTATGAATTAAATTAGATAATGTGAGTCTTTTAATTTTGTTCTTCTATTTCAAATTTGTAGAGGTATATTCAAATGAATGGTACAAGTAGAGTAATTAAATGTTGAGCTACAAAACAAAGTTATAGATACAAACTTTAATGCGATATTACTGAATAGCAGATCAGATCAATTATAGCATGTTTCTGTTATACTTCATTTGGAACTGACAGTTCTGTTAGTCTCTGGTTATGTAGCTCAGGGTGCTAGACTTAAATATTACTTTTTAAATAAATATGAATCATCACTTCTAGGCCTTTTGGCTAAGATCACATGTATTATCTGTTCTTACAAGTTTAAAGAAATAGGAATAAATAACATTTGAGCTATAAATTATAGCCAAATGATTTTATTAATTCACATTTAATATTATTTCTCTTATATATTGAATACTGAATTAATCTGATAATTACATTATGAAAATTGTACCAAAGAGAGAAAAATCTCTATAGTCATGAACTTAGAATCCCTATTTTTTTCTCTTTTTCAGTTGAGAAGAAAATGAATACATTGGGTAAGGATGAAACAGTGTCTAATAATACATTTGAAGTCCTAAAGTTCTTTTTCCCTCATCTAAGGAAAGTGGGCAGAATTTATCCTGATGTAATCATTGGCAAAGAGAAAACAGGTGGTAAGCAAACTTAGATTTAGAAAATCAAATATAGATATTTTGATCTTGGGGGACAAGCTTTTAAGTTTTTTTGAACACTTCTCTATTATTATGCATGCTTTTATGTTTTAAAATGTAATCCATTGATATAATACTCTGATACATAGACCACCAGCCTATGTGGCATTAATTTGGACTGCCAGAAATCAGTACATTATCTGGAAGAAGAAACTAGTTCAGTAGATATTTAGAGACTTGAATTCAAATTCAATTTTAATACAGATGTTTTAAAAACAAGTCATTATAAGTCACATGCAGATGTGACTTATATGAAGCATCTGGCAACCCTTATCTCCCTTGGTTTTGATAAGTGCATTCTTATTCAGTTGTCTTCCTATTCCCCATCTTTCTGGGGACCAAGGTCAGCAAAGTCTTTACAGAAGAGGTGATGTTTGAGCTAAGACTGAAATAATGAATTTAACCTCAGCAGGTATTAAAGAAGAGAAAAAGCATTTAAGTTGGAAGCAGGGATGTTAGGGCGAGTCTGAGTGCTTGCCATTCTCACAAACCTCAATCATTCTAATGAGTGAGTCACTCTAGGCCAGCGGCAGGAAATTACAGCCCTTGGGCCAAATCTGCTATTTTAAAATAAGGTTTTGGTGGACCTGGTCATGTTCATTGTTACTTGTCTATGGTTGTTCTCCCACCACAGTGGCAGAGTTGCCACAGTGACAGTATGGCCTGAGAGACAAAAATGTTTACTATCTGGTCCTTTACAGAAAAAGCTCATTGATCTCTGTTTGATCTAGGTAGTTCCTTGGGAATATATAGGATTGTTTGATATCACATGCCTCTGCCAAGCCTGTTGTGTTGGGATGGGGATGCCAGATGGCGGTGTTTAACATCTGAATTCTCACAGTGTTCCATATACTGAGTATGTTTTCTTTCATTATCTCATTTGATCCTCACAACCCAATATGATTATCTCTCTTTTACGCCTAAGAAAGTTGAGGTTTAGAGATATTAAGGTACTTCCTGAGGTCACACTTGAGTGTCAGGTTCCCTCTTAGGAGTATTTTGAGTGTGGCATGTAAATGTGTACATATACATGCATGTGTATCTGTGTGTACATATGAGAAAGTGTGTGCTACACAAAAGCTATAGGTAACAGGAGGATGAGGTGAAAGTCATAGAACAAAAATCCATTACATAGAAACCCATTACATATAAAATATTGGATACCAAGAATAAGCACAACCTTGAATAAACATCAGCAAAGATAAGCAGAAGCCCAGTAACTAATAGACCCTAACACATAAGACATTTGTAAAAGCACTGAAGACTATAGCCAGGTCTACTGGGGAATCTGTCATCAGGCTTATTTATTCTGTATTCTGAGTATATCCCAAATAATTTCTGCTCTCTACCCTCTATAACTATTCTCCTTGAGCTTTCATTTCTTGCCCAGTGTAATAGACTTGTAATTTTTCTCATGGTTTTAGTGTTACTAAAGTCAATCCATTCTTCATATCCTCCTCAGAGCTATGTACTAAAATGTATATCATGCTCAACTCTTGCTTAAAGTCCTTTGCTGGATCGTCAGTATATTTAGGATGTTAGCTCCTTGACATGGTATATGCACAATAGACCATATCTTTCAAATCTCAAATTTTGCCACTTCCCTTCCTTTCCAGCAATCCCAAACCACTTATAGTCCCCACAGATAGGCCAAGTGATTAGCACATTCTAATCACTGCCTGTAATGAACATACCACCTCCTGTCAACCACAACTCACTTGTCATGGAAGTCTTTATCCAATATGACTTTTCAGCTTAGCTAACAACTTCTTTGTGCAGTCCTCCACATCCTCAAGGGACCGGCCTCTACCAGGTCTCTACTAAGCCCTGGGAAATAGTGGTGGGCAAGACATGACCCTCATCCTCCTAGAGACGTGTGAGAAAACAATTACAGTATAAAGTGACCAGTGCTATGACAAGGGAAATACAAGGTGGGGCAGGTAATCCATACTTGGGGAATTAGGGCAGACTTTCTGGACGAAGTGGCATCTAAACTGAGACATGAAGGGTAGAAAGAATTGGAATAGGCTGAATGGGGAAAAAGCACGTGATGGACAGTGGAAAAGTAGAGGATGTTCATCCAGGTAGAAGAAAAGGAAAGGAGAGGTCTAACAGTAACAGCAAGAGGGCCTAGAGAAAAAGTGTGGCATATGTGCCCAATTGGAGATGGAAGTTTGGGGCAGTGAGACATGAAGCAGAGGCCAAATAATAAAGGGGCTTGGCCATTCACTTGTTCACTCCAAATATATTGCTGTTATGATGTATTCTAGTAACAAAAAGGATGATAAGTACTATGTAAGACAAATATATAGCTGGTATACTCAGCCTCATTTAGAAAGAATGAGTAGAATTGGCACAAGGAGCCTGAAGAAGAATGTTCTAGGCAGAGAAGGAATGGTGTATGTGCAATGATTTGGAGGTGAGAGAGTCCTGTTTGGTCAGTTTATGAAGCTGAAAGATGATTTGTAGACAGTTGAAATAGAAGACGTAGGTTGGGACCAGGTCACTAAAGGCCTTGGAAATGTTTGTAAGCGTATTCCTTATCCTAAGGCACTGGAAGTCATTCCAGCAATTGCATTTTATTTTTTAATTTTTTTGTTATGTTTATTTATTTTTGAGAGAGAGAGAGAGAGAGAGAGAGAGAGAGCAAGAGAGAGATGGGCAAGGGGCAGAGAGAGAGGGAGACACAGAATCCGAAGCAGGCTCCAGGCTCTGAGCTGTCAGCACAGAGCCCGATGTGGGGCTCAGACTCACGAACCACAACATCATGACCTGAGCCAAAGTCGGATGCCCAACAGACTGAGCCACCCAGACGCCCTTTCAGCAATTGCATTTTAGAGTGGATCCCAAATTTGAAACTTGATTCCTGCCTCACACCACCCATAAAAATCAATTCCAGATGCACTGTAAGCCTATATATAAAAGGCAAACAGTTATTTAGGAGAATATCTGTTATGACTTGAAGATAAATGAAGATTTCTCAACAGGAATCAAAACACTAACTATAAAATAATAGGCAGATAAATTATATTAAAATTAAAATTTTCTGTTCATCAAGAGGTAAAAAGTTGAAAAGGGAACCCAGAATAGGAATTGATATTTGTAATATGCATAACTGACAGAGCATTTATATTCAGAATCTATAAAGTGCATCAATAGATAAGAGAAATCCAGACAACTCTAATAGGGAAACAGGTAAGAGCTTAAACAGAGATTTTACAAAAGAATATCCAAAGACCTATAAACATATGAAAATATGTTCAACTCAATAGTAGTCAGGGAAATACTGATTCTTACTGTTCTCACCAAAGTTCAATAATTTTTTGTTACATAAATGCTTCTCAGTTTGTTGTATACCAGAGCCCTGATTGTTTCAACATGTTTTCCCCCTGGTTCTATTATTGCCAAGTTCTATTATTGCTAAGTTCCTCACTTAGCCATTCTAGAAGTCCTTATCCCTATCTTAACGGAGGGGAAACTGAGGCTGGAGAGGCTGTGTATCTTGCCCAAGTTCATACAGCCAGGCACTGGTGTTGAGTTTGCGCAGACTTCAGTGATAACAATCTTGGTAGCTATTTAGGATGGCATGAGGTCTGTTCCACCAGTGTTCCAGTCAATATTGGGCAATAAAAGTAACTCAGGGGCATGGATTCATTCCATCAAGTCACTTGGAAATTACTTCGTACATTTTTTTTTTCCACAGATGAAAATATTTCATAGTATTTTTCCTATTTTGGGTTCCAGTGTGTTCTTAGGAAGAGTAGACAATCGGCCAGTGTGTCACATTTTGTATCCAGTTAGGTAAAAGCTATAATAAACAGAGAGTGGTTACTTTTATTTTTCACTACACTGAAACCCTCCAACATGAGAAAATCTTGGAGACTACTTAATGCATTTACTAAGAATCCATTGCAAATTGGAATTTGCTTAAGCACAAAATGAACTTTGTAATAAAAATTAATAGTAGTTTGGATTATTTTTGTAATACAGTTTCAGACACTCTTTTTTGACCATACAACTAACCCAAGCATAGTGATAAGTATAGACATTAATGATAAATTATGTTTTTTCTCTGTGGTTCAAAATGATGATTCCATGCACCTATGTCTGCAGTCTCTTTTGCGCTGGGTATTTCCACTGTTAGCAGAGGAAATCAAAGTTACCTGAAGCAAACCCTGAATTCTGTTGTCTCCAGGATGACTCTCTCAGAAGAGAAGGACTCTGTGGTGATTGTCTCGGTGGCAGATGTACGTATGAAAAATAAGTAGCTCTCCAAATACCCTTCCTCCACGGTAATCACTGTATAGTTTCAGATGTTTTTCTCAAATTTAAAAAAGCAATTCATAGATGCCAGTTTTGGATAGCAGACAATGTATTTGAAACTTGTTTGGCACTACTGAGAAAGAATTAAATATGTCAACCTAAAAAGAAAAGATAATGGTTACATGCAGAGAAATAAGATTGCATTGTTAAATATGTTACTAGGATCCCTGTGTACTATATGGTACAGAAATTATATTTATAAACAGAACATCAAAATTGAAGCTACAGTAGAAAACAAAAACAAAAACAAAAACCCTGCCCAGCCCAATAAAAGGTTGGCATATGAATCAAGAGGTAATTTCTGTTAAATTAAGTAACAATAACTACCATGAATATTGAAGCACTCCTTTCTGTATCTCAAGGATTGTGGGCCATTTTTATATACCTTATTTGTAGCCTGCATTACATCCTTGTAAAATAGGTATAGCTCTCCTGATTTTACAGGTGAAAAATCCGGGGCTTTATAGAAAGTAAGTAACTTGCCCAGTAATTAATACAGCAGATTCAAGTCTATGTCTAATAGATTCTCTATCTTGCCTCTAATGCCATGTAAAACTATAAAGCACTGCGTAAATATTAATACCATAAAACCTTTTGGAGGGGAATTTGGGAGTTTGTGTTAGATTTAAAATGTCTGTATCCTTTGTCTCAGAAATCTCAATTCTGGGAAGTTATCCTAAGGAGATAATTAGGAAGAATTCCAAAATAATAAAAATATGACAGTATGTGACAGTATCTATAGTCGTTCAGAACACAGACTCGATCTAGATTTCTCTGCTTCCTGGCTTGTGAACTTGAACAAGTTCCTTCACTTCTCTATGCTTCACTTTCTTTCTCTGAAAACAGGCATCATAATATTACCTATGTCATAGTGTTGTTTTGTCAATTAAATTAGCTACTGTATTTAAAGTATTTGGAATGATGCATGACACATAGTAAGTGTTCAATAAGTAATTGTTTCAAGGATTTTCAGTGCACAATTGCTTTTAAAAGCATAATATTGGAAACCACCAAAAATGTCTATCAATAAGAGGCTGGCTAAATACTTGTCTACAGTGTGATAATCTGCAGTGCAATTGTAACCATTGAAAAGAGAATGAATATCTATATGCGCTGACATGAAATTATGTCCCTATCATACTGTTGAGTGGGAAAAAAGTTGTTAAGCATCTCATTTAACATAATGTTATCTATGTAAAATGCGATAGAAGGAAGGAAAGAAGTAAAACAAGATATACAGATAGATGAAATGTATAAAGAAAAAAAAATGAGCAAACCTTGGAATAATGGTCTCCAAAATATAAATAATGTTTATCTCTGGATAGTAGGAGATGTAGGGATCCTTTGTCCTTTCTTTTGAATTTTCTATAATAAACATGTCTTTGAATGCAGAAAAAAACTCAAAATAAGCAATAGAAGAACTAATAGGAAAATATAAGTAAAAGATTAAATAGTCATTCTGTCCAAGTTTAGTTTCTTAATATTGGAAGAATATACATAATCTCCAAAATGTTTTGCCACATTTCTGTATATTATATATTACAATCTTCATTTCTTTGCTGCTGACACATGCACATATGCTTTTATAAAATGTTTAGACCAATGATAAAATATTAGGGACAGATTTTAAAATGGAATGTAGAATGTTTAAGAAGTGTAACTTTAGTACTATGTTTAAAAAGTAATATGTTTCAGGGAACCTGGGTGGCTCAGTCAGTTTAGCATCTAACTTTTTATCTCAGTTCAGGTCTTGATCTCGGGGTCATGGGTTCAAGCCCCTTGTTGGGCTCCACGCTGGGCATGGAGCCTACTTAAAAAAAATAAGTAATATGTTTCAGTATGTAACAAATAGCTGGTGATTCAGTGTATGGTTATCTTACAAACCTTAAGTACTGTCATAGAGTTATCTGTATCATGACAGATATATATTTTTTAATGTTTATGTATTTTGAGAGAGAGAGGGAGAGGAAGAGTGCGCGCGGGGAAGGGCAGAAAGAGAGGGAGAAAGAGAATCCGAAGCAGGCATCATGCCCAGCAGGGCTTGATCTCAGGCATCCCGAGTTCATGACCTGGATGGAAATCAAGAGTCATGCTCAACTGACTGAGCCACCCAGGTGTTCCTTATGACAGATATTTTTAAGTAAACAATCTGACTATATACATTTCAGGGTACTCAGATTTGACAATACAATTGTCATCATTCAGACATTTTTCAGAATTTTGTTTTGAGAGTGCTTGTGGCCCTGAAGCAATATCATTTAAATGCCATCACTTTTGTAAAAAAAAAAAAAAAAAATGCCATCTGAGAATAAACTACCGAAAGATATTTACAAATGAGTCTGCCATCTAATCTAGCGCAGCATTTGATGAAGAGTAGGCAAATAAGGTTTGTTAATGGGCAAAAATTTGGGAATTAGGCTGAGTAATACTGTCTGGAAAACTGTGGTATAATATTGAGGTACATTTAGTACCATATAATACTCACAAAATGAAGACATCTTCAAAAAGAGCAGTTCTTAGGGGCACCTGGGTGGCTCACTTGGTTAAGCGTCCAATTCTTGATCTCAGCTCAGGTCATGATCTCATGGGTTCTTTAGAATGAGCCCCACATCGGGCTCTGACAGCACAGAGTTTGCTTGGGAATCTCTCTCTCCTTTCTCTACCGTTGCTCACACATGCGTGTGTGTTCTCTCTCTCTCTCTCTCTCTCTCTCTCTCTCTCTCTCAAAATAAATAAACTTAAATTTTTTTTTAAACTTCTTTTTAATGTTTAAATTTCAGGTGGGGGGAGACCCAGAGAGAGAAGGAGACACAGAATGTGAAGCAGGCTCCAGGCTCTGAGCTGTCAGCACAGAACCCGACATGGGGCTCAAACTCACGAACCACAAGATCATGACCTGAACTGAAGTTAGATGCTTAACCGACTGAGCCACCCGATGTGCCTCTAAAAATTTTTTTTTTAAAAAGAGCAGTTCTTAGAAATAAGCCATCCCATTTTTAGGACAAAACTGTTTTAGATACATAGGTTTTTGCATACAAATTTTTAAGTGCAAATAATGTATAGTGATATTTTGTATTGTGACAAAGGAAGAATGAAATATTTTAAGTATTCCAGTCAGGTCTTTTAGACACAAGGATATTTTAAATTCTTTTATAGAAAGTGAAAAAATAAAAAAATTCTTAGGACACAATGACATTCCACACATAAACTAGATTTACATGTAGCAAACGTATCAGTAAAACTATGAAGCATGCTTAATTTCAGTAAAATATTTTTCTCATTTTTAGAGAAATGAAGATTATTTAAAATCTGTTGTGGACATGATTACAAAAAGGTGAGTACTGTCTGATAAGCTTAAAAATAGCTGTTCTTTCATTTTTTTCTTTTATTTTTTCTGCCCAATTATTTTATTAGTAATCATATTCTTCTTGATGAGTGTAGCTGTGTAGATGGAACTACTTAGAACTAAAGGTAGTTCTAAGCTGTGATGAAGTATAGCTTACAACTTTCCCCAATTTTGTAGGTTATCTGCCTCATAAAATCCATCTTTTTTTTTTTTTTTAACATTTTTTATTTTTATTTTTGGGACAGAGAGAGACAGAGCATGAACGGGGGAGGGGCAGAGAGAGAGGGAGACACAGAATCGGAAACAGGCTCCAGGCTCCGACCCATCAGCCCAGAGCCTGTCGCGGGGCTCGAACTCACGGACCGCGAGATCGTGACCTGGCTGAAGTCGGACGCTTAACCGACTGCGCCACCCAGGCGCCCCAAAATCCATCTTTTTCATGTTATGATTGTTATATCTATTCTCCCTGAAATCCACTTCTTCTGAGAGAAGCCTACTAGATTATTTTTTAAGCGATCTTGTGTTCCTTACCGTATGAAGTTACACTCTCCGCCTCTGCTTATGATCTCCTACTGGACGCAGCCCAGGAGGAGCAAGCACATGCTGACGAATGTATATGAGGTGATTCATCCAGCAAGACCCTATGGAATTGGTCCCAGCCTGTTAGATGTTTATGTTCACGTGGGTGATACAACTGGTAAAAAACAAATCACAACAAGGAAGCTGGTGTTTCGCATTGGTATGGGGAGAGCAATATGAGAACATGTAGAGGAGGAAGTATTTTATTCTGCCTGCAAGATACCAAGAAGGTCCTTCCTGAGAAGTAAGTAACGGGCTGAGTCTAAAGGTGTGAGCAGATCTTCTTCAGGTAGATCCAAAGAGAAAGGGAATGCCTGGCAAAGAGAATTGCTTGAGAAGGCAGCAAGGCCAAACAGGAGTATGCTAGAGTTTTGGAAATATAAGTATATCCTGAGGTGTGGATATTTGGGCTTGAGGAAGAAGTATCAGTGGGAGTTAAGGCTGGCTGTAATAAGATCATGAGGAGTCTTGGATACCATGCTAAGGAATATGCACTTGATTCCACAGCCCAGAGTTGCAAAACATGGCCTTCCAGCTGAATCTGGCTACTAGACGTGTTTGGCTTAGACAGCAAAGTGTTCTGTGGTTTTTTGTTTGTTTGTTTCCTCACCAAATAGCTCAAGGGGATGAGGCAAAGTTATTTTAGTCAAAAGAATTCCAGCTAAGAAGTGTAGAATGAATAGAATTAGAAAATCACCATTTTGAAAACAACTGAGTCAGGCATGTCATTAAGTGATGGGGAGCTTTACAAGGAAGGTGTACTAGCCAGCATCCAAACAGGAAAACCTTTGGTAATTCAGATAGAATTTGATACAAAGAATTGGTCAAAAAGTGTTTACAGGGGCTGAGAGAACCAAAGAGAGAAGAAAGGAAATGGGAGAAGCATGAAGGGAGACAGGAGTATATATACCGCAGGATCTGATGTTGGGCTGCATCTGCTGCTGTGTTGTTGAAAGAGCCATGATCGCAGGTTTGAGCTGTGCCGCCTTGCTCGGCTGGGATCTCCAGTTCTCCGTTGCTTCCTGCTACTCTATCCTGCTGCTGCTGTGGCCTTCACCAGATCCTGAAAGTAGGAAGGATATCTTCCTTGTTGACTGCCTTCCAGTCTCTTGATAACTGCCTCCCATGGGCAGAACCTATGTGGAAGGTGTCTAGCAAGGGGGCCTGGGATTGTGGCGTGCAGGAACCCTCCCCCTATAATACCTGGGAGAACAGAAGTGTGAGAATGGGGGCTGAGGGCACATGGGCAATCCGCAGGAGGGGGTCAAGTGCCCCCACCTGAACCTGTGATCAGTCACAGCACCCCTGGAAGTGAGACAGCGAGACATTTTGTGCCTTCTGTTGTGATGTAAATGAAATACACCATGAAACAACTCTAGGAAATTATTGCCCACCACTCTCCAAAGTATAACACAACACAAACAAAATACAACATCTACTTTAAATCCAAGTTTGGCGTCTACACAGTGAACAGAGGAAGCAGTCTGGAGTAGCCACCAGAATGAGGACGGAGGACATTCTGTAAGACAGGTGACCCCGTTCTTTCAACAAGACTTGTTTGAGAACAAGAAGAAAGAGAAACTGAAATGATCGGTCTGGGTAGTAAATTTAGAAAAGAAGTAAGAGGTAACAGATTACAACCAGGGGATCTTATGTGGATGTTTATTTGAACACTCCACCTCCCCCACTGAATACTCGTCAGACTACTGGGGACATGTGAGTTATCAGCTGAATATTATGTGATATTACATAACTATTCTTAGTCTTGTAAGGTGTGATAATGGCATGCAGTTATATGAATAAATGCCCTTTTTTGATTTTGACACTGAAGAATTTAAGGGTAAGAAATTATATCCAGGATTTGTTTTAAAAAACTTCAACAACAAAAAGTGGGCTGTATAGATGAAACAAGTGTGGTAAAAAAAAATAATGGTTGTTGAAATCAGATGATTTGGGATTCGTTGTATTCCCACTTTTGTGTGTGTGTGTGGTAATTTTCATAATAAAAGTTTAAATAATTGAATTAGACTGTTTTCAACAAGCTCGATGGATGGGGAGTAAAGTTAAACACAGCAGCCTGAGGGAAAACTTGTGTTAGGGGAGGTCTGGAGATGGGGACTCTGGGAGTGGTTTTATATGTGATCTCATCCATGGGAGGAAGCTGATGGACAAGGTCTAGGGGCAGTGGATACCAGGCACATGTGGAAGGAGTTTTAGGCAGGACTAAGCTACAATAAGGGGGAAAACAATAAGAATAGGTGAAGGAGCAGAAAAAAATAGTTTGAGAAAGGAGGGTGAAACTAAAGAATTCCATCCTTAAAGGCTATTCCCTGTGAAAGAAAAATAGTATGTTGAGAATGAGGGATTTATTGGCAGTGAGCTTGAACTGGAGAATGGTAGTGAAGCCTCGAAGTAGATGTTGTGTGTGGAGGAAGATAGAGCTGGGCAAGATTAATGAAAACACCCATATATGTCTGTTTTTTCCCAAAAAAGATTTCCCAGGAGAAAAGTTGCCTCATACTTGAAATGTTCTCCTAATCCAGGATATGCTCTCTTGGTTGCTTTACTCTGCATAATAATCCACTATTTGGAGAATACACATTAGCCTGAAATGACTTCAGTCTATACTAGGTTGGTCCTTATAAGGGAGTCTTAATAGGATCCGTTACAAAGAAGGTAGAGGTTTATAAACAATTCCTGGGGATGTCTTTGCATAATTGCAAAACTTTTGAAGATGACTTTAAAAAAGAATTCTAGTATATGGTTACTTGTGGAGATCACAAAAATATTACTTGATGTATAGGGATACTTACGTTTTGTTATAAAATGTACAAAGACAATGTCACTGGTATTTTAGCTAGGCTTGAAGATCATGTGTATCAGAGAACTGTATTAGATGATTCAAAAAGTTTCGCATGATGATAAGGATATTAATGTTAACAATACAGCATAAAGGGTTGGGATGCAATTTTATTTTTTGTGAGACTAGAATAAAACTATAATTTAAATTTTTAATGTAGACTCATAACTTCTCATTTATATGCCTACATTTTTCTGTATTTAATTTAGCTCAAAACCCTCTTTCTAGGTCTTCTTATTGGGGTTAATGAGAGATTGCTCTATATGTTATTGACCCTAAATTTGAGACTATATAGTAATTGTTAAAGGACCCAACTAAGGTTATATAAAACCTTATATGAAACGGTATGTAGCTATGTGCTTTATATAAAAATGTAAAGCTGTATGGTTTCCATACTTTTATGACTGTAAGGTAAAATTATTCATTTATAATGGCAACAACATACAATTATACTATTTTCTCTAGTCATTGGCAATTCGCAATTCTGGTATCATTATCTCCAGGACTTTTGATGCTATCCGTAACCTAATAAGCTAGAAAAGGTTTAAAGAATCCTAGAAAGATGTCACCACACAAGATTCAAGGGTCTTGCTTAAGACAGACTGAAAAAAAAATGAGCCTGGAATCTTTCTCTTTATCAGTAATGGGAAATTATACCGTCAAGATAGAAATTATTTGTAACTGGGCCTTTGTTGTTTTGAGACTTTGCGTGAAATTTTCTAGAGGACAAAATTTATAAGCTTCTGCAATCCTATTTCTTGATGATTGTATATGCTGCAACTTAATGTTATTTTCATGTACCTCTGCTATTCTAAATTGTTGTACAAAGTTACGCAATTTTACTTTTTTAAAATGTAGGTTTTGTGTTACTAATTTTTACCCCAAAGCAAGCAGAATTCCTCATTCTTTTCTTTGATCCAGCATTTTCTACTCTCCAAGGAACATACTAAAATTAGTGTTTAAAAATCTTTCCAGTTGATACACCATAAAATCAGAGGATTCAGGAAGACTTTCATCTCCTGCACTTCCCCATTTACACTCCCACCTAAATAAATAATAAGTCTTCCACTGATGCGTAGAGCCTCGTTAGAATCGAGTTACCTGTAGAACAGTTCTTTCCCTGGAAGGGAGTGTATCGCTATGCTAGGTTTACAGATGAGGAAACTGAAGGTTAGAGCAAGTAAATGGCTGGTTAAAGTTTGTAAGTGATGGAAGCAAAATTAGCAGAGACCCTTTTCTGGGTTCAAACCCCACATTCTCGGTAGCACATGCTGCCACCCCATGCTCATGATACACACCAATTTCAAAAATTTGGAAACCATTTTAAAAGCAAACAAAAGGAATAAAATTGTCTGCATTCTAATGTCATAAGAAGGCGACACAAGCACTGTGATCAGGCACCAACAGACTTTGGAAGAAGGGGTGAGATGATGATGTGCCTTTGTTATTTGTGTAACGGTATGTGGGCTGAAGAGCCCGAAGCAAGTTTGTACTTTATGGAATTATTCGCGGTGAATATAGCATGATGACTCAAATTCCAACAGTGTTGTTGAGGAAGACGTGTTATCAATACATGGTAACTGAGATTCATCCGTATTGGAATTATGCAAAGTGAGAACTGCCTATTTTGCACATAATTGAGATTGTGCATGTAAAACTCTGCCCTGCTTTTTCACCTATTAGTAAAAAACAAACATTTTCTTGAGACTTTAACATTTTAATAAATAATGTAATGCCTAAACATAAATCCCACTTAAAGTCATATTCTCTCTAAAGGAAAATCATTCAAAATGTTCTACCTGGTGTCCCATCCTTTACCTCGATGGTGGAAGATTTGTATAACAGCTTTTGTGAGCCATGTGTTGTGCATTTTAATGATGGTCTATAAATATTAACTTAGAATTTTTTTTAATTTTCAATTTTCTTCAATTTTAATATATATTTTTATTTTATTTAAATCCAACATACATTGTATGTTAGTTAACATATGGTGTGATGATAGTTTCAGGAGTAGAATTTAATGATTCGGCGCTTAACTTTTAACACTCAGTGCTCATCCCAACAAGGGCCTTCCCCAAAACCCATCATCCATTTATCCCATCCCTCCACTCAACAAAATAAAGATTATGAAAAGCATACATAGTCATCCAATGAGTGTGGACAAGAGTCACCCTTAATCCTTGCTTGCTGTGACGAATCTATAGTTTCAGGAGCCATAGTGCTGTTATCCAGTAGGAATCTTATTAAGCTCAAAAGTATGCATTTTTTTATTTTTTAAGCTTATTTATTTACTGAAAGAGAGAGAGAGAGAGAGAAGAGATGGGGGAAGGGACAGAGAAAGATGGAGAGAAAGAATCCTAAGCAGGCCGTGTGCTGTCAACTCAGAGCCTGACGCAGGGCTCAAACTCACAAACTGTGAGATCGTGACCTGAGCCCAAACTAAGAGTCAAACGCTTTACTGAATGAGCCACCCAGGTCCCCCAAAACTATGCATTTTTAAAAATCACCTAATGTTCTAGGCTAACTCACTAGTTTCATTATTTTGAATCTTTTAGGGTATATATATGGTTGTAAACTTGCAAAAATTTAAAGTGCCTATAATTTTTATGAAAATAAATTAATTTTATATTATATATTTTAACTTTTTGTTATATGGTGCACTAATTTATAAAAGAAATACTTTAGCTAAAAGTATTAGTTTCATAATGTGGATATCATGTATCAACCTGTGAAATAATTGGAATAAAAATATTACATGGACGTGCATGAAGACATTCTTTTTAAGTATTTGTTCACTTGGTAAATCAAATATTCAATTACAAACTTCCACTTCTGTTTACAGATTCAAAAGGCAGCTGAAGTCTGGATCCTTGGAAGTCATTTCAATACCTGCCTTTTTTTATCCAAACATGTTACATGTCAAGCAGTCAACTGAGGACTCAGGAAAATTAGAGAGGTATCAGGGCACCCGGGTGGCTCAGTCGGTTAAGTGTCTGACTTCAGCTCAGGTCATGATCTAACAGTCTGTGAGATCAAGCCCTGCGTTGGGCTCTGTGCTGACAGCTCAGAGCCTGGAGCCTGCTTCGGATTCTGTGTCTCCCTCTCTCTCTCTGTCCCTCCTCCATTCACACTCGGTCTTTCTCTCAAAAATAAGTAAACATTAAAAAAAATTAGGTGTGATGTATTAGAAGACAGTATTCTCAAATAACAAACTTCATCGGATGTACTGTTGGAACCAGCATCTAATAGATCCCATTTCACAGTCAGTTCTTACAAGAATGACTATGTGCGTCCCTGCCCAGTCTGCGTCCAGCGACGTCAGGTTGGTAGCATGAAATCAGCGATGGTAGGAGCAATTACACTACGGAAATGGGCAGAAGCCACAAATCGTGGTTCATCCCCACCCCACTCCCCAGAAATCATTTACCACCAGCACTGGATTATCAGTGTTCACATGTTCAGCTGATAATTAGCAAGGGCATAAGGATGGGGGAAAAAAGCCTGGGGTTATAAATTATTACACGTGCCTTCTAATTCCAGCTTTTCTGTTTGTTGGTCATTCTGGCAATTTAGCCTTTGTTTTCTTAGCTTCTTCCACTTTCTGGCGTGTATAATAAAATCTACGTTGTATATTTGGAAAAATCATGGTGAGAATAAAATATGATAGTATTTGTGAACGAATTTTGAACAATTGAAGGTTTGTATGTGTACAAAGGAACACTACTGTTTGATTATAAATGCGGAAGGTATTATAAGAAATGTAGTAATTCGGTGCCTCAAAACTTAATAGAGTAAAAGAAATGCCAGAATTCAGAGAAAACATCTTATCCCAGGAAACTCATTTAGCTCTGTTTTGTTTTATAATAATAAATGGTATGTCAGAATCTGGAAATCTCTTAAGGATTTTGTTTTAATTAAGTAGTCAGTTTTTAGAGTCCTAAAGCTGGGAGGCATTCTAGATCCTGTTTTTCCTTCTGCCCTTTATGTCTCTGTCATTTCTTCTTTAAAAAAAAAAATCTCTCTTGGAGCGCCTGGGTGGCTCAGTCAGTTGAGTGTCCCGACTTCAGCTAAGGTCATGATCTCACAGTTGGTGAGTTCGAGCCCTGCATCTGTCTCGCTGTTGTCAGCGTGGAGCCTGCTTTAGATATTGTTTCCCTCTCTCTCTGCCCCTCTCCTGCTCACACTCTGTCTTTCAAAAATGAATAAACATTTATTTAAAAAAAAATCTTTCTCTGCATCATCCCTCTCCTTCCCATTCCTCTCCTCTGGACCATTCCTCTGCTCTGGACCATTCCTCTGCTTCAGGCGATTAATGATCTATTTGCTTTCCCTAAGCCTCACCTAGCCTGTCTTCCAATTTATTCTCCATCGTCTAGACAGAAGAATCATAGGAGATCAGGTGCAAAGTTTCCTTCATGATCTGGTCTCTTCCCACCTTACCATCGTCAGCTTCTTTTCCATCCATTCTTAGTGCTGTAGATCTGAGGTGGCAGGCTCTCTCACATGCTTCATTGTCTTTGCGATACTGGTCCTCTCACTGAATGCCCTGCTCCCTGCTCCACCCGCCCTGTCTTATGTTACATCATCATTGCCAACGTCTTTGTATATCACTTATCTAATCATTCTGATCTTATTATTTTTCCATATTTTCATAGAAGATTATGAAACCCAGAAGGGCGAGAGGTGCATTGTGTATTGTTCTTTGTATCTTAAGGAACTGGCCTTGCATCTAGCTTAGTGTTAAATTAGAATCAAGTTTCTTCTTACTTTTATTTGAACGAGACCTAAGATGAGAAAGGATATTAACTTTCTTGTACAGATCAAAAATTAACTGACCAAAACGTAAAATTAATAGATTATGCTTATTCTAGTTTAGCAATGGCAGGTATCGGCCACTAAATGAAGATGGGAACCTTGTTGATGTAACTTTTCAGTGTAACACTCAATTTCACTTACTGTAGACAGTACTCCATGTTAGCAAAGAGCTAAACAAAGTTTGTGTTTAATTACTGGTGTGCTTATAAATAATTATGTAATAATGACAAATATTAACAGATTTTATTATTTATCTTTAGTTGGCGCATCAAACAAGTACTGGATTTTTGTTTTTTGATGCTTTATGCGCAACCAAAGGCCATGTATTATTTACAGGTAAGACCTTGGTATATATATGTATAATTTAAAGTGGAAGTATTATGTTCTCCTTCCTTCCTGTTTGTATTCCTCCACCTTACTTTGTATTCAGAAAATAAGAAAATGCCAAAGAAAATGCCAAAAGGAAGTTGAAAGTTGATTTGAACTAAGTCTTCTAGCGGGGTTTACTATTAACAGAGGAAATCATAGTTACCTGAAGCAAACTGAAAAGAACTTCTCAAATTAGAAAAAAATAGAAATTATGCTCCCTACATTTCTCTCACCGCAAATTTATTACATTAAACAAACATTTTGAACACTTAATATACGCCATTGGTACCCTACATTGTCTCCTCTTGTATTTTATGTTCTACCCACTTCTACAGTGCCTTACTGTATTTCTTAAATAAATAAACTGTATATAGTTTGGATCCCCTGAATTCTGGCATATTGTTAAATAAAGAGTTTTATGTTTCAGCCGTGAGTATATACTTCACTATATGTGACAATGTGCAGTTGTAAGAAGAGTTTGTAAGATACCACTGGAGATGAGAGAAACGTTAGAAAAAAGCCTGAAGCAAGGTGTTTCTCTTTTTTTTTTTTTTTAATTTTTTTTTCAACGTTTTTATTTATTTTTGGGACAGAGAGAGAGGGAGACACAGAATCGGAAACAGGCTCCAGGCTCTGAGCCATCAGCCCAGAGCCTGACGCGGGGCTCCAACTCCCGGACCGCGAGATAGTGACCTGGCTGAAGTCGGACGCTTAACCGACTGCGCCACCCAGGCGCCCCAAGGTGTTTCTCTTTTACAGGAAGAAAAAAAAAAGAGCCTTTTGATTTCTGGTTAACAAAAACATGAGATCCGCCCAATGTATTCTTCCCAATTTGAAACAATGTGATTCTAGTTTGTGCTCTGGTAACGTGCTTGCGGATTTCCACATTTTTCTGAATCATTTAGGAGGCCCTCTTATTGTATAGATTACCCATAATATATACGAAATTAAAAAAAGAAAATTCTAGGGGAGCCTGGGTGCCTCAGTATGTTAAGCGTCTGACTCTTGATTTCGGCTTAGGTGACGATGTCACAGTTCATGAGATGGAGTTTCGAGTTGGTCTCCGTGCTGCCAGCACAGAGCCTGCCTGGGATTGTCTTGTCTCCCTCTCTCTTTTGTGCCCCCCCCGCCCCCCACCCCCCCCACCCCCCGCCGCTCGTGCTCTTCCTCTCCCTCTCTCTCTCTCTCTCAAAATAAATAAATAAATATTTTTTAGGAGAAAATTCTAGTTTCTTTTTCCCCCTCTCTTAAGGAGAGCTATTCTTAGGCTTATGTGTACCAACATTCATCTACCCACCTAGTTGTGGATGAGAGTGCCAGTTCCCTTTCGTCATCTCATTGCCAAGCACAGTCCCTGGTTCTCTGGTGACAGGACCTGGCGCCTATCATCTCAAACATAAAGCTAATTAGGCTTAAACTGGGAATGGAAGTATTTGTAAGGATGTAAATAGATTCGGATAAATAGATTTTTTTCAATGAGGATTTAGATTGAGTGTTGCATATTACTACTTAGGAAAGAAACCTCATCTCTGGTCTCAGAATCTCAAAGTGAAAACTAATAGTAAATACCCTCAGTGAATTGAACTAAAAATAAGATAACCTCATAAAAACTGGTTTTTCAGTGTATTCTATTGAGAAAGTATTTTCAGTTCTCAAGCAAATGCAATTTATTCAATGGAAGCATCAAAGGAACTAATGACTTTTGTTTTTTTCCAGCTAGAAGATGATATCATAGCTAAAAAGATGTACTTTACAAAAATCACAGATTTTGTGCATAATATCACTTCAAATAATTGGTTTTATATTGAGTTTTCAATTCTTGGATTCATAGGTAAGCCTTGTATTTTCTAGCACACAATAATCTTAAAATTTCTTAAAAACTTATTAGTTACTTAATGGAAAGGAATGGCATGATTTCTGTAAAGATACTGTTAATTTAACAGTAAGATCAAATTCAAGTATCTTGAGTTTCAGTAAATGTATTTTTAAACCAATCTTTCCGAGATAGACAATATAAATAAGCAGCCTATACATGTGATGAAAATGTAAGAAAGCTACTACTTGCTAAATGCTTGCTGCAAGTCTGGCCCACATGTTAACTCAGTGACTAAGGGGTACTGCTCTATTTTACATGGAAACTCAAAGAGTTAAAGTTGTAAGAAAGGAATTCTGATTTAGGACTACCGTACTCTAAATTCCTGGTAATTTCCACTATGCCAAATGTGACATACTTAGAAAAGTATAAAAATAAGTGAATCATACCCACCATGGAAGAATGCCTAAAATTGGGCCAATCGTGGGATTTAAAAAAAAATTCTTTTATAGACTTTCTTTCTTCTTCCTTCCACTCTTTCTACCCTCCCTCCTATACTTTTTCTTTTGTTTGAACCTTGAGGTGGCAAGTTGAATTACCACACTCATTCCATGGTGCATATCATCCTTGCTTTCATACAGGAGCCCTCTTTTACTTTGTTCTTTCATTTTATGCCCAGTCCCTACTCCCACTTCCTCCCACCCCCCAATAGGCTTCCATTCTAATATGTTCAAAGTGTACATATAGGGGCACCTAGGTGGCCCAGTCGGTTAACCATCAGACCTCTGCTCAGGTCACAATCTCACGGTTTGTGAGTTCAAGCCCCGCATCGGGCTCTATGCTGACAGCTCAGAGCCTGGAACCTGCTTCAGATTCTGTGACTCCCCTCTCTTTTCCCCTCCCTTGCTTGTGCTTTGTCTGTCTCTCGCTCTCGAAAATAAATAATAGACATTTTAAAACGTTTAAAACAAAGTATACATATAAATATGCTTATATTGGTGTTTATCATGTTTTTATCTGTTTAAAATTTACATAAATGGTGATGTGATAACCCTCTTCATGCCCCTTAACATTTTTGTCCTCAAAACTAGATTTTGAAACTGTCAACATGTTGATTTGTGTCAATTTAGTTTATTGTTTCTTACTGCTGTTGCATATACCCCACATAATAATCCATTTGACTTCTCCGTCCTCAAAGCGGTCAACTTTGCTCCCAACTCTCTGCTGCCACAAATAAATGAAGTGACATATTTTGTCCCCTGGATCAGGACCACTGAGGGTGAATATGACTGTGTCTCTAAGTCATGCCAGATTACTTTGCAGATTGGCTGTACAGTTTATAGTCCCCTAAGCAGTGCGTATGAGTTCCCACCTCCCCAAATGCTTGACAACATGTGATTCTATTACATCATTTTTTATTTATTTATTTTTGCCATTGGGAGGAGTGTTAAGAATTTCTCTGATTGCTAGTGAAATCTGTTATTCATATACTTACTTGATAACTTTCTTTTCCATACTTTCTGTCAAGTATTGCAGAATCCAATTTTGAAACCCCAAAGGTTTATGCTCAGCTTTGATTTAAATACGAGGAAAAATTATAGGTAACAGCAATACCTGATAAGCTTGAAGAGGAAGGAATTTTGTTGATACATTACTGTGAAAATTTAAAATTTTTTGTATCTTTCTCACCAAAGCCCGGTGTGAGAAGGCTGGAGAATATTCACATTCTGACCAAGAGCACACTGAACAAGGAGCATTGTCTATGTAATCCCGAAGTCTTATTTAAGCTTAAGTTTACAACAGCTTTGTTTTTTGTTGTTAGTGTTGTTATAAAACTAACAATTTTCTTACTCAATATTACCAAAAACATGAGTTTGCTAAATAGAATTTTACAGCATGCTGACAGCAGATAAGGAAAAGACAAATATTGATTCAACTATTTCCATCATTAAATCACTTACTTTGGTTACTATATAAAAACCAAAAAATTAAAATATAACTATGCATTTGATTAAATAACTCATACAGATTCAACTCCTAGTAAAGAAAAGGAAGCATGATTACTTCCTACTATCATATTTATTAAATAGGTGTATTTTACACTATTTACTTTAACATTTACCTGAATCTTATACCTTCAACTTCATTTTAAAATCAAAGATGCAGTATATTAGAAGAAAGCAATTGGACCTAAGGAAATATCCTACTTTAAAGTATAGCAAATGTTTAAGTATCACAAATATAAGATAGAAATAAAATTCTTATAAAATGAAGGGTGCCTGGGTGGCTCAGTCGGTTAAGCAGCCAACTTTGTCTCAGGTCATGATCTCGCGGTCCGTGAGTTCAAGCCCGCGTTGGGCTCTGTGCTGACAGCTCAGAGCTTGGAGCCTGCATCTGTTTCTGTGTCTCCCTCTCTCCTGCCCCTCCCTCATTCGCGCTCTGTCTCTCTCTGCTTTTCAAAAATGAATGAATGTTAAAAAAAATTTTGTTTTAATTCTTATAAAATGATGCTCGAATATTGAAATAATGCTATATTTTAATCAAAATTAAATACTAAACATAAAAAATGTGGTAGATTGATAAAGTTCTACAAAAGTCAGGTTATAGATCCGCTTCTACAAAACTAAGTAAAAATTATAGCTTCTGTACATTTCATTTTATGTATATGTATCTTTCACAAGACTTAGAAATTGATCCTCATTGGTTATCAAAATTGGTTTCCTGAGGGTATTCACTATTCTAAACCTGCTTCACACTTCTCTCTCCCAGAAGTGGTAATCTGTAATACTTAAGCAGATATATTATTTTATTATCCTTCAACTTCATGAATGCTTTAAGGATATACTTATATAAGGATATATTTAATTTTTAATGATTTTTTGGTCCTTCCTCTTGTTAATAGAATGAACAACTATATATAAGGGTTATTTTATAATATATGGTATAAACACTCGAGAGTTATTTGGATTTGTTTACTTTTTCTTCGTAGGAAAGCTATTTAAATCTGAGGACTTAACTGACTTTGTGCGTTTTTTTTTAATGTTCTACAAAGATAAACCCATAGATTTGCTTTTGGGGGACATTTTTCAGGTAAAGATGTGTAACCCAGGAGAGACCCCTGTGAGTATTTCTTTACTTTGTAAATACAAACTATTTTAGGAAAATACTATCTGTCTAATGTAATTCCCTGAAATTTGTTTACAGAACTAAACCTGATGAGTGCACTAGTTTTTAAGTTCTGGTATCCAGAATTTTTACTTACACTTACACCTACTACATCAAATAATGAGAGGCCACAAATTTAGTGATAAGTGGAAGAAAAGTGACAAACAATAATAAAATGATAGATGTAAATTAAATATGTCAAAATATACCAGCTAAGAGATAGTTCATCAGAATGGATTAAAAAACACTATGCAATTATTGCTGTCTATACTCAGTTAAAATATAATGAAATACATAGGTTAAAGTAAAAGATGGAAAAATAAATACCTTGCAGACAATAACAAAAAGAAATTTGTACTAGCTATATTAATATCAAAGTAGACTTTGGTGCCAAAACCCAAAAAATTTGACCAGGGATCAAGAAAGATACTAAAAGAGTCAAATCACCAAGAAGATATAACAATCCTAAAAGTGTATGCATCTAATAAGAGAGACTCAAATACATGCAGCAAAAGATGACAGAATTAAAGAGAGAAATAGATTAGTCTACAAGTATAGATGGAGACTTCAACACTCCTCTCTCAAGAACAGAACTGGTGCATAGAAAATCAGCAATGAGATAAAAGAATTGAACAACACCATCTACCATCTGGATTTAATTGATATTTAAAAAGCACTACGTCCAACAGCAATACAAAATACATTATTTTAAAATATACATGGCGGAGGGGGGGGGCGCCTGGGTGGCTCAGTCAGTTAAGCGGCCGACTTCAGCTCAGGTCATGATCTCACGGTCAGTGAGTTTGAGCCCCGCATCGGGCTCTGTGCTGACAGCTCAGAGCCTGGAGCCTGTTTCAGATTCTGTGTCTCCCTCTCTCTGACCCTCCCCCATTCATGCTCTGTCTCTCTTTGTCTCAAAAATAAATAAATGTTAAAAAAAAATAAAAAAAAATAAAAAAAAAAAATAAAATACACATGGGGACTCCTGGGCGGCTCAATTGGTTAAGCATCTGACCTCAGCTCAGGTCATGATCTTGTGATTCGTGAGTTCGAGCCCTGCATCAGGCTCTGTGCTGAAGTGCAGAGCCTACTTGGGATTCTCTGTCTCCCTTTCTCTCTGCCCCTCCCCTGCTCGCTCTCTCTCTCAAAATAAATAAACATTTAAAAAGAAAAAATTAATAACAGAAAGATAACTGAAAATCTGCAAGCACTTGGAATTTAAACAATACACTCCTGAATAAACCATGAATGAAAGAGGAAGTCTCAAAGGAAATTAGAAAATACTTTGAATAGAATGAAATGAAAATACAACCTATCCAAATTTGTGAGATTCAGCTAAAGCACTGCTTAAGGAGAAATTTATCCTAGAAGAAATCTTTACCTTAGAAGAGAAGAAAGATTTTGCATTAATAATCTCAGCTTCCACTTTAAGAAACTAGAAATAGAGAGTAAAATCAACCCAAATCAAGCAGAAGTAAGAAAATATTAGCTATGAAGTCAGAAAGCAACAAAGTTGAAAACATAAAAGTAGTTCTTTGAAAAGAGCAAGAAAACCAATAAGAAGATTGACAAAGAAGACTCAAAAACAAATTATCAATAATAGAGACTATCATGATGCATATGTATGAGTGTGTGTATGTACTAACAAGATATGTAGATTATATGCTGAAAACCTAAAAGTGCCGATGAAAGAAATAGACATACCATGATCATGGATTGGATGTGTGTAAATGTGATATGCAGATAGGTATGTATGTAAGCAAGATGTTTAGGTTGATATGTAGATGTTGGTATGTATATACGTACCTATCTACATACCAACCTAAACATCTTGCTTGATAAAAACATTATTTCAAAGTAGATCACCTATCTAAATATAAAACAAACTTTAAAACCTTTAGAAGTGTAAAAAAATATCTTCAGGATCCAGGAGAAGAGTTCTTAGACATGATACTAAAACTATGATCCATTTTTTTAAATTACTAAATTAGATTTCATCAAATTCAAATCTTTTGTACTGTAAATTTTACTGTTAGAGGATAACATACCACAGACTATGAAGAAATATCTGTAAATTCCATATACAACAAGGACTTGTATTCACAATATATATAAAATTCCCAAAACTCAATAACAGGAAAATAACCCAATTAAAAAATAAGCATAACACTTGAGTAGACACTGCTAAGGTAGTTTCTCCCTTACTGCAATAAGCAATTAACTCAGCTTTCCTTTAGCAGAGCTAAAGGGGCATTTTGTGGGAAGCCAACATTTGATAATGCCATCTCATTGGAACTTCTATTAATAGCTTAGCAAATATTATCATATTTGCTGGTTTTTAACTCCTCAACTAATTTTATCTGACCTTAGTTTCAAATTAAATTAACTCTAGATTATTTAAATACTTTACAGTTATAAAAACAATCCTTTAATATAATACTTTCCTACATGTTTGTACTGCGTAGAAATACATTTAAGTAAGCCTGCTGTTTAAAGATTGCAAAAATGCAATCTACCAAGTGGGAGAAGATATTTGCAAATAATATATCAGATAAAGGGTTAATATCCAAAATAAATAAATAACTTATACAACTCAGCACCAAAAAACTCCCAACTAATCCGATTAAAGAATGGGCAGATAACCTGAATACTTTCCAAAGAAGCCATACAGATGACCAACAGACACATGAAAAGATGCTCAACATCACTCATTATTAGGGAAATGCAAATCAGAACCACAATGAAATAGCACCTCACACCTGTCAGAATGGCTAAAATAGAAAACACAAGAAATAACATGTGTTGACAAGGATGTGGAGAAAAAGGAACCCTTGTGCACTATTGGTGGGAATGCAAATTGGTGAAGCCACTGTGGAAAACAGTATGGAGTCTCCTCAAAAAATTAAAAATAGAATTACCGTATGACTTAGTAATTCCAATATTGGATATCTACCCAGAGAAAACAAAATACTAATTGGAAAAGATATATGCACCCCTGTGTTTATTGCAGCATTATTTACAATAGTCAAGATATGGAAGCAACCCAAGTATCCATCAATAGAGGAGTGGATAAAGGTGTGGTATATATACAATGGAAAATTACTCAGCCATAAAAAAGAATGAAATCTTGCCATTTGCAACAGCATGGGTGGACCTAGAGGGTATAATACTAAGTAAAATAAATCAGAGAAATACAAATACCATAATATTTTACTCATGGGGAATTTCAGAAACCAAACAAACGAAGAGATTGACAAACAGAACCTTAAATATAGAGAACAAGCTGGTGGTTGCCAGAGCGGGGAGGTGGGTGGGGAGATAGGAGAAATAGGTGAAGGGGATTAAGAGAACACCTATCTTGATGAGCACTAAGAAATATATAGAATTGTTGAATCATTATATTGTGTACCTGAAATTGATACAACACTATGTTAATTATACTTGAATATATTGAGTATATAAATTTGAGATGGATTTTTATGAATTTTTAAGTATACAGTATGCAAAGTAATTCTCAGTGATCATAATAATTTCAAATGTTTGCTTGTAATATTAAGGGGTGGTTTCACAGGTCATCTTTCTTATTTTTATTTTTAATGAGATTAACCAAATCTTTTTTCTATAAAGCATAATATTGGTTGTTTTAATCATGTTTTTTTTTCTAGTTAATACATTGAGGGGGGTGTAACAGTGTAGGAATTAATTAATATGAAAAGACAAAGAATAATATAGTCTGAGAGAATGGATAGAAAAATACAAAAAAATTTCATTTATGTTGTTGAAATAACAAGAAGGGAGTGGAAAATTATAGTTGGTACAGCAGTAGCCTGATTTTCTATGACAGAGTTCAAGAAAATACATGCTTTAACTAACACCTTTTTGTACCTCAACTTTTATTATTCTTATGAAGAAAAATCTAAGTAATAAAGTTTTATTTAATGTTTAAGTATTAAAATAGAACTCTGGCAAAAACTAATATAATACAGAATTCTTCCATCCATAAAAGCAATAAAAAGGAGTATTTGGGTTGTTACAGAAGATTATTGTTTCTCTTTTTCCCCAGGAAAAATGTGCAGAACGAAATAAGCAAATTCGTATTCGATATAAACCTTCTCTTTTCCAGCATGTGGGTATACAGTCATCATTCCCTGGAAGAGAACAATATTCCAAAGTAAGATTTTGAAATGTTACTTGAGTAATATAAAATGTCTTGTGAACTTATAAAATATTGTTTAGGAAAGGAGAGATGGAAACATGAGAGAGACTGTAAAATGTGGTTGTTTAAACATAGTTCATCTTACAATAGCTATATGTTGTGAAGAGCAATCATCTTTTCAAGACCAAGTTATCTGTCATGGTTAGAAAAATCTAGCCTATCTTAACTTCTTTGCCTTACTATTATGTAACAGCTGTGCAATTCAAGTAATGACTAAAAACATGTTTTAAAGATCATAATACACTCACTATTTTAGTCTAATATTTAAAATTAGACAAGAATATTTCCAAATAAAATGTCCCTATTATTTAATTTAGATGTATCAACATTATTTCAGATCACTATTTATTGTACCAACAAAAATTTGATTTTTTGGTACTGTTTGGTTTTTATCATTCTTAAATTTTCCATCATTTTTGGAAACAATGTTATTTATAATTGAATATAATTGAATTATAAAATATATAGTATATATATATAATATAATATAATTGAATTATAATTGAATGTTATTTATAATTAGCATCTTGGTAGGGTAGAAGAAGCAAAGACTTCGGAGTCAAAACACCTAGTTTTTAGTTACGGTGACCTATGTCCTCTGTGCTCTCTTCAGTCTGTAAGAGGGAGAAGTTTAAATTAGATGATCCTTAAGATGTTTTCCACCTTTGAAATACTATTGACATCTCTCCCTTCATTTCTTCACACAACAAAGCAAATGATTGCTTTAATCTTTGGCAGTTGAAATGAGAGAAATGCACGTGCACATACTCTCATCATTTCATTCATTATTTATGATCAGCCCTCCTTCCACCTTTTCTACTCCTTATCTCTGTATATTTATTGTACTGAGTTCTTTGGAACACTGCCTGAAACATAGTGTGAATTTAGTAGATGTTAGCTATTAGCTATTATGCAAGGTGAAATTCTAGATTGAAAGTATTCATTAAGCAAAACAGACAAGTGTCTGGTATATTGAAAATTTATGAATCTGCATGCAAAAAATAACATCATAAAAATACATAAAACATAGCTGCAGGTGATGCAGAAAGAAATTGGTCTATACCATTCTATTTATTGGTGCTGTTATAATGGAACTCTTTTCTTCCATTGTATTTTTTTGCTTGATGAGCTGTTTTAACCTTACCTTTGTAAATTTACAACCGATTAAGTAGAATATTTATCTAATCACTCATATTTTAATGTTATAACCTAGCTTTTTACCTTTTTATACCTCACACCATGTAAAATAGAAATAAATAACAATTTAGTGACATGTCCAATGTGGATTGTATATTTTTAAAATATATTATTACTTTAATTATTATAATTATTTAATCATATTATTTTAAAATTTTCTAACAGGATATTTATTATTAGGAGTTTCATAATTCGAGTACCTTCTTTAAAAATGATCAGCATCATTCTTTGGAAAAAATGACATAATGAGGATTAGTCTTAGTTCTCAACTTTCTTCAAAGTGGCTAAGAGACTATCTCATATAAAAATATAAGCCTTTGATAATATAGTGGTAAGTATAAAAATTGATATAAATATATAGAAAATTATCAGATATTTATTAGTCTTATTTTATAATCATATTTTGTGTATTTTTAAAACTTTATACATATAACTTTCTGATATACTCTCTAATATTTTGTTTGAGAATAATGAGTATTTTCTTTTCCTTTTTATCATATACTGTACACATACAATGAATTTGGAGACAATAGATCTCAGTTTGAAGCCTCATTCTTATCAATAGATGCAACACTATGGATGAATCTGTAAAACACTGTGCTAAATGAAAAAAGCCAGATGCAAAAGACTATATACTCTATGATTCAATGTGGAATTCTAGAAAAGGCAGATCCTGACATCTTATTATGATTTTAATTTGCATTTCTTTGATGGCAAATGATGTTGAGCATCTTTTCATGTACTAGCTGTATGTATGTATATATGTATGTGTGTGTGTATATGTGTGTGTGTGTGTGTATATATAATGAAATATAGATTTTTACCAAATATGGATTTTAATGAAATGTAGTATATAGTTTTTGAAATGTCTGAGTATTTGCCCATGGGTTGTTCACCTGTTTATTTTTGTTTGTACATACATGGTCTCTGCTTATGACTTGCTCTTTCATTTTCTTAACAGTTCCTTTCAATGAATGAAAGACTTTCACCTTGATACAGGTCACTCCACCCAAACCTCCACTCTGTCCATATAGTTATGCCATTGCTTAGTTCAGTATTCAATGATTTCATAACGAGAATATAAAACCTGTTTACACTTAAACTGCATGGTATGCTCTATTTTTCCTTTATTATGCAGCTTTTTTTTTGTTTTAAATTTGCTTTATTTCAATGTACTTATCACTAATTCATCTTCAGATTCCCTGCAAATTATCTAAATCTGTTCCTGATGTATTGAAACATTTTAAAAATCATGGCTGAATGTTGAATATTGTTGAATGCTTTTCTGCATTTCTACCACTTCCTAACCTTGAAAAATCTCTCTCCTGCAGCCTCTGACCAGTTCTAGCATATATCTTAGGAACCAGGCAGTTGATTTTCCTGTTTTCTATATCTCAAATCTGTATCATTCTTGGTCAACTCATTTGTTTTAGTAAAGCACACTCCCCTCTTCCTGGTAATTTCTTGAGAAAGATTGTGTAGGAGATAAATTCTTGGAAAACTAAAACGTCTTAAAATGACTGCAGTCCATAAAACTTAACTGTTAGGTTGGGTAGGCAAAGGATTCTGAATTCTGATTTTTTAAGGTATTCAAGACTGTAACTGATGAAAAGTAGTTAAAGCCATTCTAATTCCTGTTTCTTGGTATCAGACCAATCTTCCCATCTGTAGACCTTTAAAACTTTTCTTCTATTTGAGATTCTACAATTTCATGATGATAGGATAGGTCTATTTTTATCTATTGTGCTTAATATTTGGTAGGGCTTTTTAATATGAAAACTCGTGTTTCGATTCTGGAAAATATTCAGAAATTATTTTGTTGATAAATTTCTCCCTCTGTTTTCTATGCTCTTTTTAAGGAACCCTATTTCAAATGTAAGATTCCTTAGATTGATGTTCTCTCTGTCTCTTACTTTCTCCTTCCTATTTTCTTTCTATTTGCTTCACTCTCTGAAAGTTTTTCTGAATTTTGCCTTATATCCTTTTTATGAGTGCTTTTTTGTTTTGTTTTGTTTTTTGGGAAGGAGGGCAGTTTTCATTGATTGGTTGGTTTGGTTGTTTGTTTGTTTTTGCTATTGTAGCTTTAATGTCTGAAGAACTCCTTTTGTTCTCCTAATGTCATTGTCCTCTTTTATAACCCTTGGTTCTTATTTTATGATTGAAATACTTCTACTTAACCCTCTGAGGATTTTAATATTTTTAAAATATTTTTTTAAGCTTCTTATTCCTGCATAGTTTCTATTTCCTCCAAGTTGGTTTGTTGTTGTTGTTATTGTTGTTTTTGGTCTCTGTTCTTCAAGTTGAAGGATTTCCTCAGGTATGTAGTGATCATAGATTGTATGTTCAAAAGGAGAAAGGTGGTTGGAGGCCCCTGAGCACATGGCTGAACCTGTCAGTTTCACTGTCTGGGGAGGAGTGGCTAGGCTCTTTCCCTAAGGAATCATCTGTTCGTGTCTCTAAGTTTTGCCTCATGGGCTAATTAAATTGCTAGAGAATCTGGGAGCCCAGTAGGCAAAGATAGTAGGGGTTTCGGTGTTCACTTTGTCAATATTCACTTATTTGTCTTGTTTATCGTTGTTATCCTTACCCTGGTTTGAGTCTAGATACCCTATGTTTGCATTTTCAGAGAATTACCCTTCAAGAGTGAAGAGAAGATCATCACTTCGCTCCACGGGGCGGAAGAGGGTATTTAGAGCTTCAACTACCTCAGACTTGCAAGCCAGTCTCACAGGTTTGCCCCATCTTCACCTCCACTTTTAGCAGTAGGGGGGTTTCTCTGCTGCAGGTGGTGCTTCTGTTTCCATACAGCTTTCACAGACGTCCATTCTGTTGCCATTGTTTCCCCTCCCATTCTGTTTGTAAGATCCTGTATTTTTAACTGACCCTGAAGGTTAAGTGTGACTTCTAGAAAGAGTGAAAGTAAATACTTGTGCCCGATTCACCGTCTTTATTAGGCAGCCTACTAGTTCATCCTTGAACTTTGACTCTTTGGCCTATTTGTTTCTTAACTTCCAAAAACAAAATTTTAATTTCCAGGACTTTCAGCTGATTCTTTTTATGTACACAATACCCTTCCTATCTCTCAGAGACAATTAGTTACACTTAAACATTAGCACATTAGTATATGTGTAATTCGTTATTTTAACCACTTTCTATGCTTATTGTTAGTTCTGCATCATTGCCATCCTTCTCTCCATCTCCCCTGTTTCTCAGGGGAAAGCTCATGCAGTACAGAATATCTTTCCCCACAAAGTGCCATGTTAGATTCTGTCAGTGAGAGATAGTCCCAGTAGATGTGGAAGACAGCAGAGAAGGTAACAGTTGCCTGCTGTGGACAGGAAATTGAGATCACACTTGCTGCCAGGCAGCTGAGATCATCTGCCGTGGTTTCCATATGACCCTCGTACTTCCAGATTTCCTGAACGTGCCTTCTTGACCTTTGCTCCCCCAATCCTTCCAACAATTGGGATCACTTCCAGTTTGCTCCATCTACATTAAGTCTACTTCTTTATTCAGAATACCTCCAGTGGCATCTGCTTCCTTGACTGACCTCAGTTTTCCGCTGAATTGAGATTTTGTTTCCTGCTTGTTGAGACTCTCTATTTGTTTCGTTGTGAATGCTGACTCTGTTTTCTGTCGCCTTCCTCCACTATTGGTGGGAGGAATGGGGCAGTCTACTGCTGCTCCCTGTGCACACAAGCTTTTTTTCTGAGTAGGGAAGACCCTTCTTGCTTCTCCACTGGAAACACCCACACCCAGTGCCTCTGCTGGGAAATGGTCGTTTCTGATGTCTGCTGCTCTGCATAAGCACAAATATATTCCAACTGTGACTCTGCAGTTAACTCCAGGGCCCTTGCCTGTTCCCCTATATCCACTGTCTCTTGAGTTTGGGTCATCCTTAGAGCTACTCTCACCTTTTTAGTAGCTGGTGCCAGTGTGTTTTGGAATTTGAAATCCTCCCCTTCTCATCTGGTCTCATATGCTTTCCATCTGACACTCCCTCAGAATGATTTCTATGGATGGAAGGGTGTTCATGCAGAATTAACATTTGATACTTCAACAGTAAAAGGGGCACAATCTGCAACTATGTGAATGGAACTAGAGGGTATTAGGCTAAGCGAAATTAGTCAGTTGGAGAAAGACAAATATCATATGACTTCCTTCATATGAGGACTTTAAGATACAAAACATGAACATAAGGGAAGGGAAGCAAAAATAATATAAAAACAGGGAGGGGGACAAAATATAAGAGACTCTTAAATATAGAGAACAGAGGGTTGCTGGAGGGGTTGTGGGAGGGAGGATGGGCTAAGTGGGTAAGGTGCATTAAGGAGTGTACTCCTGAAATCATTATTGTACCATATGCTAACTAACTTGGATGCAAATTAAAAAATAAACAAACTACTAATAAAAATCATCAAAATCTTAAAAAAAATAAAAATAAATTAAAAAGGTACATAGTATATAACCAAAAGTATGCATTATTTATATACATACCACTTCACCATGAAAATGTGGGTGCATTTCCATGAAGATAATCCTGCATTCTGTGAGTTCAATTAGACCTGCATCGTGTTGTTTGTTTGTTTGTTTGTTTGTTTTATTTTTTTAGTGGGACTGAGGTCAGCAAAATTTGAAGAAGGTAGCGCAGGTAACAAATTTCCCAGGCAACTTCTTTATCTGTTACCCTCTCAGTCACCTGTCTTTCTAACAAGCTCCTTTCAGAATGTCTCCCTTCTTTCCTGCAAGAACAGCAAGAGACCACCACCACCTCATTTTTTCCCTCCCACATTAGGAATTTGAAATGCCTTCAGCACCCTCCACTGCAACCAGATTTCCCTTTCAAAAACCATTTCAGGGAAATCGGGAACTGTCCTTTTGCTAACATTTTTAGATATTTAAAATTAGGTGTTTCCAAACTGATGAAAGAGCTGCAGAATGGGTTACCCCTTCCATTTTCCAAAGGGTGCGTTTCAAAATGGAATAAAATTCAATCGTATCAGATTTTTAGCTTTGTTTATATTTATTAAGCAATATACATATATCCGGCTGAACATTAACAAAAAGAGCAACAATCCTCTGCATTTTCCCCATCCTTATCTGACTCACCAGAGGCAAGGACATTTAATCATTCTGGTTTAAATGCTTGGTAGTTTTCTTTATATTGCTAAATAATACACTTACACTGCTAATTTTTATTTATCCACATTATTTTTCCTGCAGTATAGATGAAAATTTAGATACTTATTCATTTTTACTATGTCTTAGTCAGTTTGGGCTGCCATAACAAAAAACAAAACACATGCACACACAAAAAAAAACACAAACTGGGTGGCTTAAACAACAGAAATTTATTTATCACATTTGTAGAGGCTGGGAAGTCCAAGATCAGGATGCCAGCATGGGGGCTTTTGGTGAGAGCCGACTTCCTGGTTTGTAGACAGCTGTCTTCTGACTATATCCTCACATGGCCAAGAGTAGAGAAAGGTCTGGTCTCTTTATCCCATTATAAAGGCACTAAAGTCCTTCATGAACATTCCACCTTTTTGACCTAATTATCTCCCAAAGGCCAACGGCTATATTTCCAAATACACTGAGGATTTAGGCTTCAACATACGAATTTGAGGAAGGAGATGCAAATATTCAGTTGATGGGATATTATGACATTGATTATTTTGCCCCTTTCTTTTCTGAGTTTTCTGAAAGAATAATCAAATATTAAGTTTACTGAATTGACCTTCTACGTGTCATAGCTTTTATATACTATGTCCTATCATTGGTTTTTCTATGCACTAGGTGGATTCCTTGACTAACTTTTCTAATCAATGTTTACTTTATTTTTGTTTTATTCCTTTTTTCCTAGCATCCACTTGTGCTGTGAATACAATTTTTCTCAAATCTCAGGATACTATTAAATCTCTTTATGAAACATTTTTATTTTTTAAAAGTTTATTTATTTATTTTGAGAGAGACAGAGAGAGTGCAGGAAGGAGACAGGCAGAGAGAGAGTGGGACAGAGAAGCCAAAGCAGGCTCTGTGCTGACAGCAGTGAGCCTGATGTGGGTCTTGAACTCACGAACCATGAGATCATACCCTGACCCGAAGTCAGATGCTTAACCTACTGAGCCATCCAAGTGCCCCTCATGAAACACTTTTAAAGTTCTCTTCTGTATTCTGAATGCGCTGTTTTTTCTGTGACCAGATAAATCTATCTGCTTGTCTATTTTGATCTGTCTGTTAGGTTACACACTTTCCTCAAATATTTAGTGATTCTTGGTTGTCTGGTGGCAAATATGGGTAATTTTAATTCCTCTCCCTCCCCACTCCTTTCCTCACACTGCATTTATCTTCATATTCCTTTATAAAATTGAAAGGAATGAGGCTTCCTGAGAGTTTTTGGTACATGGATAGAATTTGTTGGCTTATGGCCACCATAAGTCGGTTAAGCTCCGACTCGGGCTGAGGTCATGACCTTATGGTTCATGAATTCGAGCCCCTCTGCTGTCAGCACAGAGCCCACTTCAGATCCTCTGTCCCCAGCCCCCACCCCTTTCACACGTGCGTGCGTGCACTCTCGCACAATGAATAAACATTTAAAGAAAAAAATAATTTGTTGGCTTACAAACTCTGTTGTAGAGTATGTGGGTGACTAGGCTGTGATTGTTTTGTGTTGGAGTGGTTTTTTTCCATTTTTTGTTTTCCCAGTGGTTTGAGTGAAGGGGCACCAACATCGCAACCTATGTCCCAAAGAGCTTTGTTCTGGGACATAGGTTCACCCAGTGCCTGCCCTAGTTGCTAATTACATCTGGGTGGCTCATTCAGCTTTCCTTAGAGAAGACTATGTGTATCAGTTGCCTGGGGCAAAAAGGCCTTGCAGCTCTCCCATGCCCCTGACAACACTCCCCCTTCCTTCTTCAGGGTTAGCTCCGCTTTGGCTTCCATCTTTCATCAAATTTGCCATCTCCATTCTAGCCCTGTGTTCCACATGCTGAAGTCACAGACTCCTCGGCTCCATTGTCAGGCCCCACTCTTCCATCAGATTTATGTCTCTCGTTAATTTGATTAAATGTCTCCTCAGCTGTGAGCCTCCTCTATTCTTTATGTCGTTTGGAATTACATCTTTTTCGTTCATTTACTATCATTTCAGTGGGGTCTAGCTGTCCACTACCTAGAACCAAGAGTTTAGATATTACATTTCAACTTTTGTCAACTTTTAATTTTATTAAGTAAAATAAAATTTACATTCATGACCCCAGCAAGATAAATGTCACCCTCTTTTCTTTAACCAGGTCTAACATAGCAACACTTTAATATTCATTTCTTTAAGTCTTTTTAAAAAACTTCTATGCAAAATTTGTTCCTTAACCAGTTAAATTATATATTACACTTCTCACAAAACTTTTTAAAATGTAAGATAAATTTTCTATAGTTCATTAAGGAGAAGAATAGTTTGGTTAATTTCTGTTCATCTAGCTAGTAGTTCAAAAACAATAATTTAATAAAAAAATTTATCTTGGTGATGAATATTCTAAGTTTTAAATTTTTAAAAATTTTGCCTGCCATCAATTTAAATGTTCTTTATCATTTCATGTTCTAGGTCTATAATAAACATAAAAGAGGTTTAGAAACAACTAAAATATTTCTGTATGAATAATTTCTGAAAACTCAAATAAGATACTTAGTTTTTCTATTAGTTGGTAAGCAAGAGAATAGTGTGTTTTTATAATTTGCCAGCGCTGCATCCTACATGAAAAGTTATTTTTGTTTTACTGCGGCTCACTGGGCATAGGGCAAAGTGTTTCAATGTGTTGAAGTAGGGTTACCAAATAAGATACAGGATACTTAATTAACTTGGAATTTAGTTAAACAATCACTTTTTTTTTTGTATGTGTGACCCATTTGTTTTATTGCTGTTGCTAAATCTACTAAGCCTCGTTGGAGGTGATGGAGGGAAAGGAAGTAGATATCTCCCATCAAAATGCTTTAATTGAATTATTTGAGTTTATGCCTTTGACTTTTACTGAATAACAATATATGGCATATTTGCATGTTTTTCAAGACTATTATTTAAAGTTTTGTTTTGTTTTTTTTTAATGTAAAGATACATGTGACAACTTTCTCTTAATTAGAAAAAGGATATTCTTTCCCAAGGAGTAGTCATGATTTCTTTGGCCCATTGTGGGTATTTTTGTTCCCTTTGACTAACAAGAAATTCAAAACTAATTTAATATGAAATGTAGTACTCATATTTTCTTGCATTCACAGCAAAATTTCTCCAGTTCTAATTTTATATTTAGTCTCTGATTTTCTTTCATATATTAGTGTTAAAAGATTATTATGTTTCCATTTTATGTTTGTCTCAATCTTAAATCTTTCCTATATTTATTTATATTTTAAATTATAAAAATAAAGTGAATGATTAAAGATATCTGGATATTGTCATATTAGGGACATCTGGCTGGCTCAGTAGAGCATGCAACTCTTAATCTCGGGGTTGTGAATTCGAGCCCCATGTTAGGTGTAGAGTTTATTTAAAAATATTTGTACCTTATCTATAACAGTTGGTTGGCTTTAGTGATAATCCCAGGTATCCCAGTGATGGAAATCTACTTTCAGTAATTTTAACACCATGATGGTATTAAAATTGATATTGTCTAATACATCTTAAGAATCATGTCTTTGCCAATTTAAATATTCTTCTCTACTTATAAGGTAAAAGAGTGGTCAAAAGGATAAAGAATGTTATCAAAATATTTCATAAAAATAATTATATCCTTGTGAATTAATTAATTTCTATTTAATTTTCTAGATATTATACATTTCTTGTTTTTATTTCAGAAAATATGAAGATAATAAGCATAACAAGAAAAATTCTGTAATACATTGGAACCTCAAATAAGCCTGATTTCTCATGGCATCTTTCAGAAATTATAATAATGAAAATGCATAATCGTATAGAAAAGAATTCAGAAATTAACACACTTGTAGGCTTGAAAGTGTTAAGCTCCCTCTTATGTCAAGGAAAATTACAGTGTTTATTTATGATGTTTGTACCCTTACTATTATAATTTAATTAAAAAAATAGTAAAGGCAGGGAAGTTTTTGAAAATTAAGAAATGAATTTTGTTGACGTAGTTATGCTATCACATAATCTTAATAAATAGCTAATAGTTCAGAAACTTGTCATGGATAGGTTCTGTGTAAATTGGTATATGTTCTTATCCATTTTGTTAGGACATCTAAAGAAAGCACAATTTAAGCCTGGGTCTGGCAGTGCCACAATATCTTCTTGTCTTTTAAATAAGTGCATTTAAAACTATAAACTTACCCCTAAAGTGCTGTTTGAACTGGTTTACCAACCTCTTGATATTTATGTATTCTGATAGTCATTCAGTTCTAAAAGATTTTGTAATTTCTCTTATTATTACTTTCTTAGCTCATGGGTTATTTGGGACTGGTTTTTTTTTTTCAAATATGTTGGTTTTTGCCATCTTTTACTGTTGATTTCTCATTTAATTACATTGTTCTTAGTGGATTTTATCTGTGTGATGAGATTTGAGAATTGTTAAGAATGCTTATGTTTCACGTGAATTTGAAAAGAATGAATAGTGTCTGTAGACTCCCTTTAAAATATGTTGCATTCATTTGTTTCTTATAAATGTGTTTTGTGCTTTGAAAACGTCTTCTTAAATATTCCCAATTATTGGGTGCAGAATTCTCTTATATCAGGCTTTTTAATTTACTTATTCAGGTTTTTAAAATTCTTCCTAATTTTTGTCTGCTTGATTATCAGTTTTTATAGGAGTCTATTAAACTCCACTATTCTTCTTGTTATTCTGTTGAGTTTTATTTTATTTATTTTGAGAGATAATAGGAGATATTTCTTCTTCCTTCTTATTCATCAATAAAATATGAAAATTGTACTTCCTATTGTGTATTACCTATCCTTGAGTGCCAAAACTTTACATATTTACCTCAGTATGAACTGTGTCACATACCAACATATAAAAAGAATATGAAAGATGTTCACATGTGTCCATTTCAGTCTCTCCTTTTAGAAAAGAAGAAGCAATATGTCAAGTATATTTCAGTGAATCTGGGTTAGGGTGGTTGGTGGGGGGAGAAGAAGAAAAGACATTACATGGATGTTACCTGTGGCAGATGCTAGAAGAAAAAAAAGAGAGAGAAGTTGAAGAGAAGCCTTAAAGATTCAACACAATAACTGTTGCCCTTAATGAAATGATTCCAGAACAGAGAATTTTGGCAGTCAACACAAAGCATTTCCAGAAAATGTTCATAGTGTAGCCAGGAGAGACACCCCCAGTTTCCATCCCCATCTCTTCTGCCCAATTGCTGGATGTTTGGACCATTTCACTCCTCACCCATGGTCCCTGGACTGAGGTGTCTGAGAAAGGGGTGATTTGGAGAATCCCTGACACTCATCTGGGATAAGCAGAGCAAATAGCACTTATTGGCTGTTTTGGGCATTGTTTTATAACATTCATACTGATTTCGCTTTTAAAAGTCACTTTCCCTCAAGCATATGTATGAAAGCACATGATATATTTTATGCCCTTGGCTCAATATAACAGATGAGTTTGTAGAAACCACATTCAGACAAATTTCTACTGAAATCTTTTTTTTCCCCCCCTCAAACACTACTTTTGAAGTAAATAGAAGCTCTGCAAACTTTGGAGACATGATAGGTAAAATTCCCTTTTACAAAAAATTCAAGTATTGAGATAAGCTACCAACAACTGCACTATTTACCATTGAAGTAAACAGTAACATGGTAATATAACTAATATTAGCAGTAATAGTAAATGTGACTACACTCTTGGGGAGAGGGAGAGTTAACCCTCTACCAACACAGGTGTATAAAAGTATCTCAGGGTTTGTTGTACACTCTTAATACGGACCATCCACCCTGTGGCAGAATTTCAGTAATTATCTGGGCAGGCATTTTCCTATGAAAACTAATTACATTTTTAGATGTTGTGTTATAATAGCCAGTCATAGGCAACAAATTATGAGGAACTTTATGTGAGCTGATAGGTTTTTGTTTTGCTGATACTAGTTTTCTTTCTAAAAGCCCAGATAAAATGATTTCTTAGAATGCAGTTTACCAAAATTGATGTGAGTAGAGACAAAGTTTAAAAAAAATTTTTTTTAAAGACGAAATTTATTGTCCAGTTGGTTTCCATACAACACCGAGTGCTCATCCCAATAGGTGCCCTCCTCAATGCCCATTAACCACTTTCCCCTCTCTCCCACCCCCCCCATCAACCCTCAGTTTATTCTCAGTTTTTAAGAGTCTCTTATGGTTTGCCTCCCTCCCTCTCTAACTTTTTTTTTTCCTTTCCCTCCCCCATGGTCTTCTGTTAAGTTTCTCAGGATCCACATAGGAGCGAAACCATATGGTATCTGTCTTTCTCTGTATGACTTATTTCACTTACATAACACTCTCCAGTTCCATCCACGTTGCTACAAAGGGCCATATTTCATTCTTTCTCATTGCCAAGTAGTATTCCATTGTGTATATAAATCACAATTTCTTTATCCATTCATCAGTTGATGGACATTTAGGCTGTTTCCATAATTTGGCTATTGTTGAGAGTGCTGCTATAAACATTGGGGTACAAGTGCCCCTATGCATCAGCACTCCTGTATCCCTTGGGTAAATTCCTAGCAGTGCTATTTCTGGGTCATAGGGTAGATCTATTTTTAATTTTTTGAGGAATCTCCACACTGTTTTCCAGACCGGCTGCACCAGTTTGCATTGCCACCAACAGTGCAAGAGGGTTCCTGTTTTTCCATATCCTCTCCAGCATCTATAGGCTCCTGATTTGTTTATTTTAGCCATTCTGACTGGCATGGGGTAATATCTCAGTGTGGTTTTGATTTGTATTTCCCTGAGGAGAAGTGAGTTGAGCATCTTTTTATGTGCCTGTTGGCCATCTGGATGTCTTCTTTAGAGAAGTGTCTATTCATGTTTTCTGCCCATTTCTTCACTGGATTATTTGTTTTTCGGGTGTGGCGTTTGGTGAGTTCCTTATAGATTTTGGATACTAGCCCTTTGTCCGATATGTCATTTGCAAATATCTTTTCCCATTCTGTCAGTTGCCTTTTAGTTTTGTTGATTGTTTCCTTTGCAGTGCAGAAGCTTTTTTATCTTCATGAGGTCCCTACAGTTCATTTTTGCTTTTAATTCCCTTGCCTTTGGAGATGTGAGACAGAAAGTTTAAACCAATAAATTTTCATAGAAGAAATAGAGAAATTTATTGAAAAATTATAAGCACAAAGAGCCACCAGGCCCAGATGATTGCACAGGGAAACTTAACTAAACTCCTAGAAACCAGATAGTCCCAATGTTTTAACATTATTTCAGAGTACAGCAAATAAAGGAAAATTCACAAATTCTTTTAATGATGTAAGTATAACATGAATACCTGGTCCTAATAATGATAGCACAAAAAAGAAAACCACAGACCTATACCATTTATGACAACTGATGCAAAAATCTTAAATGCAATATTAGAAATAAATTCCCAAGCCACGCTAAGAAAACAACATACCATGACCTGGTTTTTTTAATACCAGAGGTGTAAAAATCTGGGTAGGATTCTTACTAATAGGTCTAAGGAGAAGAATCAAATTATTACCTCCATAGATGCTGAAAAAAGCCTTTGGAAAAAAGGCAAGACCTATTTTCAATAAGAATATTAAAGAAAATTGCAATGAATGGATACTTTCTTAACATGATAAAATTAAAGGCCAGATAAAAAACACATATGAAAAATGCATGTCTAAAAGTATGTCTAAAAAATTACTTGTTTATATGAAATTAGAATCTCATGGGGTGTTGTGTATTTTAATTTGCTAAATCTGACAATCATAAATACAAGGTATGTACCTCAATCCTAAAAATGGTTCTTTATTTAATGGGGAAACACTGGAGGCATTTCTACTAACATCAGAAAACAGAGCAAATGATCCCCTGCTATCTTCAGGACTGTTAAATTGTTCTGGCAATGTTAGCCAGTGAAATTTGATAAGAAAAAAAGACTATAGGCATAAGAATTGGAAAATAAGTAAAATTCTGCTTGAAGAAGTCAGGGGACTTAATCACAAAACTAATTCAAATAAAATAATTTAGCAAGGAATCAGAATATAAATTTGGCATTCAAAAATTATTAACTACTTGGGTGCCTGGGTGGCTCAGTCAGTTAAATGTCAGACTCTTGATTTCAGCTCAGGTCATGATCTCAGGGTCGTGGGATCAAGCCCCATGTCGGCCTCTGTGCTGGACATGGAGCCTGCTTGAGATTCTCAGATTCTCCCTCCCTCTACTTCCCCCTCCCCCACTCCTGCTCATGTGTGCACTGTCTCTCAAAAAAAAAATTACATATATATGTATATATAATATATATATAAATGAGTAACTTCTTAAAAGTGAAAATAAATCCTTAGATTATGTGATGAATGAGAAAATCTCTTTTATAACAGCAGTGAAAAAGATTCAGGAACAAACCTAGGAAGAAATGTACAAAACCAGGAAACCGTTTGAAAGTGATGGAAATATCCTGTATTTTGATTGTGGAAGTGATTTCAAAGGTGTATACATACACCTGTCAAATTGTAAACTTTAAATGAATGATATTTATTGTATGTAAATCTCAATAAAGTTGATCTAAAGGTAAACTACTGTGTAAAACCTATATGAGGAAGGCTATGAAACTCTCCTAAAGATGCAAGAGGAGACTCAAGCAAATAGACCTCTCTCTTCTTGGACAGGATATCTCATCAAAATATTAGTTCTTCCTAAGTTAACTTAAAATTTTATTGTGATTCCAATAAATATGCGAACAATCCTTTTTTTCCTGGAGGTTGGCATATTGATATTCAAGTTCATATGGAAAAAAAACCCATTCAGGAATATCTAGAAAAGCACTGAAAAGGAAGTGCTAAGAGGGCATCTGAAACAACCAGATACTAAAACATTTTTCAAAGCCTCTATAATTAAAATAGTGTGATACTTTGTGCTAGTGCTACGCAAATCAGTGAAATAGAATCAAAAGTCCAGAAATATACCCAAGTAAATATGGATATTTAGTAAATGATAAAAGCAGTATCTTAAATCACTGGGCAAAGAGATATTCTGATGATATTGGGGCAACTGGATAGCCATTTAAAGAAATATTTACATGTTACAGAAAAATAAACTTCAAATAATAAACTTATAATAAAAAGTATAATAAATAAAGTATAATAGTATAATAGTATAATAAAAAACTATAATAAAAAAGAAATAATAAAATTATATAAGTATTAAAATATAGATGAACCTGGAGTAGGGAAAGGTATTCAATGACTCAAAATCTGGATGCAATAAGAAGGAAACATTGTCCTTATGCGTAAAAATTTATCCGACCTCACAAGTAAAAATCAAAACCAGGGCAGGCGCCTGGGTGGCTCAGTTAAAGTGCTGGATTTTGGCTCAGGTTGTGATCTTGCCATTCCAGAGTTCAAGCCCTGTGACAGGCTCTGTGCTGACAGTTTAGAGCCTGGAGACTGTTTCAGATTCTGTATCTACCTCTTTCTTTCTCTCTGTCCCTCTCCTGCTTGTGCTCTCTCTTTCAAAAATAAACATTAAAATCTTTTTTTAAATTGAAACTACACTGAGATATCAGTCATGAGGTTGACAAAAATTCAAATGCTTGACAATGCATTCTGTTGGGTAAGGTTATGTGGAAAATAAACACTCTCATACACTGGAAATACAAAATGATAGAAGTCCTAAGGAGAGGATTTGGTATGCATAAGAAAACTACATA